TGTTGTGAACTGAAGTCTATCATCCATCTAATTAAGTGTTTAAAAAGCACAATACATTTGTTAAGTCTTGAAGGTGCCACAAGACAATCTGCTGTTATAGTTAGCCTTAACCACACTTAAGGCACTCTTTACACAAGTTTAAAAAGTGTTTCAGATTCAAACACCCAGTGAAAATAAAACTGAAAGATACCCACCCATTTTTACACTTCACTTCTAAAGTATTTTTAAAAAGATGAATAAAATAGAGAAATGTAGAGGAGGAAATTAAATAATGGTCCAAATTAATCATTCTTCAGGCATGGCAACAGCAATGATTAACCAAAACCAAACACTTCCCCCCCTTGCTGCAGAATATTAATCAGACTGTCCAGCTAATACTTTATTTCTCCATTCGTGGCCGCACATCCTCAAGAACAAGCTCCAGTTGCTCTTTGCTTTCCCCATATATGAAACTCAAATGTACAATCTTCACTGCCTAAGAATAAATGCTGGGTTTAAAAAATTATCTCCTCCTCTTCCAGCCTAGTCACAACATTCACAAATGACATATTCCAGCCCAAAATTGTCTTTGTCACTTGGTGAAAACAATCGAAAAGCTTTAGCCTGTTAGCCAAGGAAAAAAGAAAAGAAAGTGTTTAAGTTTCAACACACATTTTTGTTTTGTTTTTTAAGTTGATTATACCCCTCCCTGGCCCTCCAGTTTTCTCCTCCAAAATGCTTCTCCTAGAACATTAGCTTATTTTCCTTCCCTCTTGTGAAATAAACTGGGAAGGGGGGGGAGGGGGGAATTCCAGAGTTTCTCCAGCCTGAAATAAGCCATTTAACAGAAACAACTCAGAAAACTTTATGTGAGGACTTGGGGAGCTGAAACTGTCCACGAGGAACGTGGGAAGTGGGAGGGTCTCAGGTACATACAACCTGAGGCTCGGGACGCGAAGAGGGATGGGAACCACGTGTGCGATGAACTTGGGATGCGCGTTAAGAGAGAGAGGAGAGAAAGAAAACGGAGTTGGCGGGGGAGACTAGACGAAGAGGACTGAAAGGGGGGGGGAGGTACAGGGGGTCCGATGAGTGCAGAGCGGGTGTCCCACGGGCTCCCAGCATCTCTTACTTACCTGCATTACAGGTGGGAAGTGGAAGGTGGAGCCGCTGCTCCGGGGGCTGGGGCGCTCGGGGTGCAAAGCAAATCTTCTGCCCCCTGATCCTCGCCACCCTCTCCCTCCCTCTCTCTCTCCCTCCCTGCTTGGCAAGCAAAGGCAGGAGATCGCGGTCTCCGATTACTGCACTACCCTTCCGGGAAACGAAAACGAAAGAAGCCGGATCCGAAGGTTGCTGGAGTTCAGTCCGCAGAGCACCCACAGCCGCTTGTGCGCCGGCTGGTCCCGCCTCGTTGTGCGCAGCCAGCGGCGAGGAAGAGGGTTTCTGAAAGAAGTGCGCTTAAAGGACAAACAGGAGCGTTGCTTTCTGGAAGGAAAAGTCCCGCGGCGCCTTCAAGGCTAACATAGCATAGCGTTCCGAGGGACGGATTAACGCTTATGCACCCCCCCACACAAAACAAAAACTCAGCAGAGCTTCTGCCACGATGCAGTTGTTAGTTGGAGAAGGCAGATCAATCAGTTTGACTGTGCAATGGACCTGGATAACCAGAAGTTGGGTGGCCATCGGTCTTGCATGTCTTAGTTGAGATTCCTGCATTGCAGGGGTTGGACTAGATAACTCTTGGGGTACCTTCAGGGCCGCTGTTTTTGTTGTTGAACATATGCTATATATATGGTAAGTTATGGACCTATCAGGTATCTAAAGCCATTTGCGCATGTTGCCATGCAACCAGTCCATGCAGTATGTAGGCACCCTATAGTATATATAAATGAGCAAACCAGTGATGTTTTAGGGAGCAGACGGGGCCCATTATTTACATCATAGGAGCCTACACAACACAAAACACTGTTGCTTTATGTAGGTTTTAGTTTATTTGTTTTTTATCTTATATTTTGGAAATGTACATCCAGTTTTTTCCCTTTAATTTTTTTTGGGGGTGGCCCAAGCGAGTGGGGCCCTAAGTTATAGATTGTTTAGCTTATACAGTGGTACCTCGGGTTAAGTACTTAATTCGTTCTGGAGGTCTGTTCTTAACCTGAAACTGTTCTTAACCTGAAGCACCACTTTAGCTAATGGGGCCTTCTGCTGCCACCGTGCCGCCGGAGCACGATTTCTGTTCTTATCCTGAAGCAAAGTTCTTAACCTGAGGTACTATTTCTGGGTTAGCGGAGTCTGTAACCTGAGGTACCACTGTATGTAAATCCAGCCCTGGACTGTACCTTCCAACTTTACGATTCTATTGAAAATGGTGCCCAGGTTTTCACAACATATACCCCCAAACTGTCATGAATGTTATGGGGAGGGGGGGTATCCAAGTCTACGATTCTTTGATTCTGTGAAACCTAAAGGAGAGCGCTGTACCTACTAGGGAAGATTTAAAATGTTAATTTTAAAACTCTGGTAGGCACACAAGGCAATCTTTAACAGCCAGATTTGTGTAACTCTTAATCCATGGTTGTGACCATGGCTTAGAAGTCAGCTGTTTCCAACTCCTCAGAGTAACACTAAGAAGTTAAATATATTGAGTTCAAAGGGGCTTACTCTGAGGTAAATATGTAGGCAGCAATCTTTGCCTATTTACCTTGGAGTAAGCCCAATTTAGCTTAATAAGAGTCTGCTGGATCAAGCCAGGGGGGGGGTCCATCTAGTTCTCACCATGCCCAGCCAGGTACCCTTGGAAAGCCCACAAGCAGGTCCTGAGTGCGAGAGCGCTCTCCCCTCCTGCAGTTTCCATCAACTGGTGGATTAGTTACCCTTTTAATTGATTTAAGCACCCTAAAAGCACATGTAACCCAATTTGTAACACAAATTTCCCCATGGCACGAATTTCACACATTTTTCATTAGAAATAATGAATTGTAGCGATGTCTGCTGGTGATGCAACACGCGAAAAGGTACTATGATTCATATATGGTGGAATTGTTTAAACATCAAACAATTTTGGGAAATAATATATAATGAAATGAAAAAAATGTTTAGATACTCATTTAGGAAAACACCAGAAGGTTTTCTATTGGGAATAGTACCAGGAAGCCTAAAGGAAGAAGATAAGACCTATTTTATATTTATACGCAACAGTAGCAGCAAGGCTATTGATTGCGAAAAACTGGAAAAGTGGTATAATACCGACAAAAACAGAGTGGCTTGCCAAATTATTGGAGTATTACAATATATCCAAAACAATGGAAGAAATTGGAAGGATTTCAAAAGAAAAGATAGATAGGGACTGGAAGGTGTTTAAAAGATACTTGCAAAATCATATCGAAAAATCAGAACTCCTATTAGAATAAACAAGTTCCGTTTCAAATAAAAACTTATTAAATTTTTAAAAAAGAAAAAGAAATAATGAATGCACATATCTGTTTCCCCACATGAATGTGTGGTAGGAAGCCCTTATTGATGGTTTATCCCTTCTGCCTGTACACACATAGGCTCAGTTGTCATTTGCCAGCATCTCCAAAGTACCTATGGGCAGGTGAGTGCCAGCTTCAACCCACGGTGTTAGATTAACTGGAATATAGCATGTCATCCAAACCCTAAACCAACAAGATTAACGTACTATATTAGCTTATGAAACTGACTTCATGAACAATGGTTGGAAACTGCTTGTTCCACCGACAATGGTTGTAATTAACCACTGTTTGTCTAGGTTTAGATGACATTGCAAGTTACGGTTCTTCTAAAATGCAAGTGAAAGCTTTTCATCTCTTCATAGCCAGGAGAGGAAAGACACCAGAAGAGAAGGGGGTGCATTTGAGCCCTAAGACTTACCTAGGCTTATTTATGCAGTGCTAAATTTTGTGTTATGTCTGAACCAGCCCAGTGAAATTGAGGCATGGGAATTTGTCCCATATTATTAGATAATTGGATTGGGATTCTTGTGATCTCCTGCATGGAAAGTATTTCAAGATACGTAATTATTATGGGAAATGACCCTCAAGTTGGTGAACAATAGCATCATTTTTTGCCCACTTTTTCAATGTGTACCGTGGCGTGTATGGTCCAAGCTGCATTTGCAATTGCGTCTAAATCACGAGAGTGATCATTATTCCTAGTTCATTTATGTGAAAATTAAAGGGGTGGATCTGATTGTGTGGGTGGGTTTGCAGCTGTGGCCATTTTCAGGCATGTCTAGAAGTTTCTCTCCAAATAACAGAATGTGAAAGGGCTCGTGACATATAATGGTCTATATACATCTTTACATGTGTGTGTTGATTATTCCTGTGATTCTTCCCTTTTGAGAATGTGAGTTGTTGATTCCATTTGGATGCAATACCTCAAGGACCGCCTCTCTCCATATGAAGCTACCTGGACCATGAGACCACCCTCTGAGGCTCTTCTTCATGTGCCATGTGGCAACATGAGAATGGGCCTTTTCTGCAGTGGCTCCCTGTTTGTGGAATGCTCTCCCCAGGGAAGCTCTCTGGGCACCTTTAGGCGCCAGGCAAAAACATTCCTCTTTAATCAGGCCTTTGGCTGATTGACATCCAATGCCCTTTTAAATGTGTTGTGGGTTATTGGTTTCTTTCTGTTTTTATTTCTATTGTGCATTTTGTATTTTCTATATTGTAATTTTATGCTGTGAACTGCCGTGAGATCTACAGGTAGAGAGGGTGGCATATGAATTTATTTATTTATTTATTTAATAATAATATTTTTCTCTTGGTAAATTAAGATATTTAAACCTTAACAATGTTGAGTCAAGAAGGGGTTAATACAGCAACGAATAGGTTCTCGGGTAGAGAGCAAAACTGACTTGCTCAGATTAATGTTTTTAAGACGTTCCGGGAATGTCCATATTATTTATTTCCTTGTATCTGAGCAAACTCCAGGCTCTGGCTATAGGCATGCCATCTCTTGTTTTCTGTATGTGCTGGGCAGGGACTCTTAATTTGAAGTATGTACATGACTCACCATCTGGGCTTAGATAGGGGGTGGAGAATTCGATTGCAAGAGCACAAACAATTTTAACTGTCAGCTATTCTTCTTGGTTTTGTCCACGTTCTTTATTAAATGTAGATTTCAAGATTTTGACCTGATTTCGATCAGCTGGGACCCTTTTCTGACATCTAGGTAAGTAGACGATATTTAATTTGCTCTCAAAATGTATCCGTCCCTATGGGAACCTGATTCCGGTAATAGAATTTGATATTGTTTAGATCAGTGTTTCAATTGTTCAGAGCTTTTGTGATTATAGCCAAAACTTAGAACATTTTTTTAAAAAATGGAAAGCAAAAACATGCAAATGTGTGAGGTTTCTGGTGTCTTAAATGCAGATTATATAATTAAGATGTGTGAAAATAAGAATTGTGATGAAGTCAAAAAACTGGCATTTTTAAGAACTGGAAGAGTTCAGTGTGTGTAGTTATAAAAGGTAAAGGCAAAATTGTTTGCTTTGGCATATAGAAAACATCCTGTTTTATTTTGTGCTGGAACGAAGTCCCTGCTCCATGTTTAGTGCAGGCCTCTGGATAGCTGCCAGAGAGCAGCGTAAAGCCCGGCAGCAAGCATTGTGTACAGTTTCTCACAATCCTTTGTTAAAATGTTATCGAAATCGGTTAATAGGTCTTCTACAATCCATAAACAGCTTACAGTGTGGTGGTTTGTTTTTTTGCAGTCCCCGTAGGTTCATGGGACATTGTTCTGTCCCATGGAGAAAAAAAATAGGATAGCTGTTCCACTTGTTTTGTGTGCTGCACCTTTAATTATTTATTTCTATTTTTTAATATATAATATTTTTTTATTAGTTTTCAATTACATTCCAGTAATAGCTTCATTATAACAATATGAATTTATAATACAGTTACTAATGCCAATTGTTCAAATACTGAATTATATAATTTAGGTGGCACCCCACGTGCTAGAATGGTTGGATGATTTTCTTTATTTCTGTGTTCTAAAATCTTACTAATTTCAATTACATTTCTATTTTATTTCTGTTAATTTCAATTACATTTCTATTTTAATTCTATTTTATTTTTAAACGTGTTTTTGAGGAATCCCAGGGATTCTTGCCATTGCATCATGTTGGTTCCAATATACCATAAAAGGACACCATAAGGACACCTGTCTCTCCACCACACCTGTTTGCAGTTCCCAACAGTTTTCATAACCACTCCTTCCTTGAAGGAAAAGAAGCTATTTTCCCCAACATTGAGCAAATTTATTACATGTAACAATGGATGCCATAATTGACATGATGCCGCTCCTAGGAAAGCTCTCTCCCACTGTTAATTTATTTTAAAATATTTACTTCCTTATTTATTTATTTTTGTTATTTATTGAATTTATATACCGCCCTACACCCAGAGGTTTCAGAACAAAATCAAAATATGAAACCACAAAATATATAATCAAAACAAAAACAACCCAATAACACCCCCCCATTTTTTTAAAAAAAGGACGTAGGGTGTCAATGAAATCCACCAAAGACCTGCTTAAAAAGGAACGTTTTTGCCCAGTGCCTAAAGGTGCCAGGAGAACGTCCCTTTTCTGCTTTTCTGTCGCTTGAACATAATGCTAATAAAATGCATGTGCATAGACACACGCAACCAAATAAAAAATAAAACACAAACTGATCACTTAAATGCCACACTGTCCTAAAACGTCATAAAAATAAATAAAATACTTTAAAATAAAAAATCGCTAGTACAGTTGTAACAATTTGCAATATCAGGGCATCATCAGTATACCGTTTCCCCAAATGACTTCTGAAACAGTAGGATTTTCATGACATTATGGGGTGCTTTTTTCAGGTGGGATTCAATCACATAACAACAAAATCAGGCTGGAATATTTAGCTTGTTACTGTGCAGCAAACCGCTTCCCCAAAATCGAGACTTTTTTGCGATAAGGAAAGTCGTAGGGAAATGCAGTGGCAAAGTGTGTGATAATGATTGCTTTTTGCAGTGGTCCTATAACTTCCCCAGAAACAAACGGAATAAACACCCAATAAATAGCTGGTGCAGTCTAATCTCGCCACAAAATTTGTGCAAATTAAGCACAATAAACATGTCATCTGGAAGCAGCCAGAAAGCCAAACAGTTTCCTCAGAGAGGAATTCTGGAGCCTGGGAGCAATTGCTTGCAGTCACCAGTTTTATCTCACATGGCAAGATGAAGATGTGAACTTCATTTTCTTTCTAGTGTAATCTAGAATGTCTTTTTAACAACAGAACATCTTCCTATTTTACCTCCGCCCCACATTAGCTATACTTATGGAAATTTAGGTTTTATTGTGGAAAGTGATTGAGGTGTTGAACCAGGTCACAGGAAACCGAGGTTCAAATCTCCAATTCCGCCATGAAGTCCTGGGTGACCTTGGGCCTCGCTTTTGGTGTAAACGACCTTCTCAGGATCGTTGCAAGGAAAAACATGGGGAAACAGGGCATGAGTCACATTGAAAACATGACCATGTATTTTCTGTCCTGAACTCCATGGAGAAAAGAGGGTGTATGCATCAAATAAACAAATGGAGTCATTTCAGTCAGTTGTGTCTAGTTCTTCTCTTGGCTTCTGCTGGTTCTAGGGTGGATTTGCCTGGTTTTGTTAGGATTTTAGCTGCTGGAGTGGGTAGTATAACCACATAGTTTCATCTAAAATTTGTGTTGATTGTTATCTTAATAATAATTTTATTATTTATACCCCACCCATCTGGCTGGGTTGCTTTGCATTGAGCTGTTTATGAGCTTTGCACTGCACAATAACTGAATTGGTGACATTTTCAGTACTGAAGTTTATTTCTAGGTTTATTATGGCATTTTTAGGGCCGGATACCCTTTCATATTATCTTTTGAAATAATTGCATTTGAAATAATTGCCGGAGGTGGTGGGATAGGGAGCTGCAGTGAGTGAAAGAGGGTGGGACTGTTCACACAATCTCTGGAATCGGATCCAAGCCCACGTAGACTACAAACACATACTAAATCAATCGAGCATATGCAGATATAAAAGAAGAGCCTGCTATCTGTACAAAGTTTCTCTCACGACACCATAGCCTTTTGGTTGGAATAGTGGCTATTCCCCACATGCACAGTTTCAAGCGCATACTTATGGTTTTATTGCATGTATATCCCACCATCTTCTCCAAGGAGCTCAAAGTGACGTACAAAGTTCTCCCCTTCCTCATTTTTAGTCCCCACAACAACCCTGTGTGGTAGGTTAGGCTGAGAGGCAGTGACTGGCCCAAGGTCACCCAGTGAACTTCATGGTCAAGTGGGGATTTGAACCCTGTTCTCCCAGGTTCCTGTCCGACACTCAAGCCACCATGCTACACACTGGCTCTCCCATGCTTAGCAGCCAGAACTGGATAGAGAATGAAGATGGAGGCGAGAGAAGAGTACAGAAAGAGAAGGGAAGAGAGGAAATGGATGGCAGATAGACTGATCCACACGATACATATAAATCGCATCCAGCGCACAGAGGATCCTGGGGACCGTAGTTTGTTAAAGAGGCTGGGGATTACAGTGGTACCTCGGGTTAAGTACTTAATTCGTTCCGGAGGTCCGTTCTTAACCTGAAGCACCACTTTAGCTAATGGGGCCTCCTGCTGCTGCCGCACCGCCGGAGCACAATTTCTATTCTCATCCTGAAGCAAAGTTCTTAACCTGAATCACTATTTCTGGGTTAGCGGAGTGTGTAACCTGAAGCGTATGTAACCTGAGGTACCACTGTATAGCTCTGTGAAGGATAAACTATGTAAATTAAGAAGGGGGACAAAAGTTAAATGTTTTTAATAATAATAAGCCTGGACATAGAAAGGTGGGGTTAAGGCATGCAAGGTAATCGTGAAAGGGGAAAAGAAATGACAGGAGATGACTAGAAACACTTTGAGATGTAAGTGCAAAAGGAATATTAGATAGCAAGGATCGGCTATCTCGGCTTAGAATAGCAAGGATCAAGAGCAGTGTGCAGGCCTCCTCGAGCTGCAGAATTCTCCTTCCCAATGCAGCTGTTGCTTCCTGTGTTTTTGGAGGAATGGAGTACAAGGGACTGTGATGCTGTGATGGGAAGGAATCTTGGGTCTTGATCAGAAATTCCTGCACATGTCAGTGCAGAATCCTGGATCGAGGTTCAGATCTCGCCATTCACCCGCACTGTGCATGACCTTGGACATATCATGCTCTCTCAGGCTGTGTACACACTCCTGTTTGCTCTGCATCCAGTGTGCTCCCATTGCTGATTTGGGAAGCAGTGTCAACATGGTGTTAGGCACAACCCATATCTATTCTGTATCTATCCTGTCATTTCTTACGAAATACAGTGGTGCCTCGCAAGACGAAATTAATCTGTTCCGCGAGTCTCTTCGTCTTGCGGTTTTTTCATCTTGCGAAGCACGGCTATTAGCGGCTTAACGGCTATTAACGGCTTAGCGGCTTTAAGAAAAAGGAAACAAACTCGCAAGAACTCGCAAGACTTTTCGTCTTGCGAAGCAAGCCCATAGGGAAATTCGTCTTGTGGAACGACTCAAAAAACGGAAAACCCTTTCGTCTAGCGAGTTTTTCGTCTTGCGAGGCATTCGTCTTGCGGGGCACCACTGTACTGTATTTTGATGTGTTTCCCCCTAAGCCAGCTTCATTCTGAATTGAGAAAAAGAACAACTTAGGTCCATTATAAGCCAGTGATGTGGCTGCAGCCTCTTGTCTAACTGGCCTCACAGGGTTGTTGTGTGAATAAAAGGGGAGGGCGTCTATTGCTGCCCTGTGTTCCCTGGAGGAAAAGTGAGATAAAAAAAATGAAATATATACATAATTAGAATTGTTGTTGTCATCGTTTCTAAAGGATCTAATAATTTGTAGTTTCTTCATTGACAATTACCATATTTTTTGCTCTATAAGACTCACTTTTTCTCTCCTAAAAAGTAAGGGGAAATGTGTGTGCGTCTTATGGAGCGAATGCAGGCTGCGCAGCTATCCCAGAAGCCAGAACAGCAAGAGAGATTTCTGCTTTCACTGCGCAGCGATCCCTCCTGCTGTTCTGGCTTCTGAGATGCAGAATATATTTTTTCTTGTTTTCCTCCTCCAAAAACTAGGTGCGTCTTGTGGTCTGGTGCACCTTATAGAGTGAAAAATACAGTAATCTTTTTGAATTGAACAACATATGTTTGTGTTATTTTGCCCTATTGAGAAATATGGGAGGAAAGGCTTTGGGGAATACTGCCAATGACAGCTACATTGTTCTCTCTCTCAATTTGGATCAAAGCTGGTTTGAGGGGAAACACAGTGTTTCTCAAGAAACAACCAAGTAGATAAGGGATTGTGACATACGTACTCTTGCTTCCCAGAGCTCACTGGATGCCAAGTTAATTGGGAGGAGGGGTGCTCACAGCCTCAGTTACTACAAACCTTCCTGTGAAAACAAGAAGTCAAAGGAGGTCTTGTTTAATGCAAACATGCTGTTTTGCATAACTCTGTGTGCTTACAATGAATGACCCATTCTCCACTGATCTATTTCCCTCACTCACAATCCCCATCTCCAAAGGCACAATTTCTTATGCTCAGCTGAGTCCTCCTTACACACACACACACACACACACACACACACACACCACTGACTACTGAAGGCTTGGTGCTTATTGACCGAAAATAGCTCCTCTTGCTGCTGGTTTCAGCCCGCCCTGGCTGTGATGCTGCAGATGTCAAATAAGGATAAGGGGTGGCTGTAGGAGTGAGAGATGCAGGGATAAGGAGGCGGATCTCTAGAAGAAAAACCATTGCAGCCCACACACTTTTTATATGCCACGTAGTGAGTAACTCTGTGTTTAAAGGGGGGGGGAAACACAGTGGCGTTCAGAGGGTGACCTCAAGTCCCCCTCCGTCTCTTGGTGCAAATTATGTTTCTAGGGCACAGTTTTAAGGTTATGTATACAGAAACTGGATAATATGTCAACAGTGTGATTAAGTCTTGCTAACATTAGACCGCTAGATGCAGAATAGGAAAAGCCATTGGACATTTCATTAGACTTCCAGAGTGGTGTTAAATATTGTTCATGTAATATTGTGGTCCATGTTGGCAGTTAACACAGCAAGCCTTAGGATATCCTGCCCCCCCCCCAGCACCAAGCAATGTGGTAACGGCTGTTTCCTATATTAAAATTGGACAGAGGAACACTGTTGTTGGATTTTCTGTACACATTATAACTTTAAAGCACATTCGAAGCGCAATTTTTCTCTCAGAGGTCTGGGCACTTTAGTTTACCCCCTCATAGAATTCCTAGCTGTCCTTAACAAACCAGCCCTATTCTACAAATATATACTGAAAACTAAGTCCTACTGAATTTAGTGGGCTTACTCCCACATAAGTGTGCTAGGGATTGCAAGCTCAGTAAACTTTATAGCAGGGATGGGGAATCTGGTTCTCTTAAGATGTTATTGAACTGCAACTCCCGTCATTCCTGAATATTGGTCCTGCTGGCTGGGGCTGATGGGACATAGGTGTGGGCCACTCCCCCTAGGCCACATCAGGTAGAGAACTTTCTTCCAGATGTAACCCTCATTACCATTTCTTCCTTACAGGACTTTTCTCCAGATGGGCAGTCACTTTGAATTACGGATGCCTCAAATGAGTATTAATCGTGCCACTGGAATGGAACGATCAAGCAATCAAGAATCTTGTCAGCTGACTGAAAACATGACTTCTACAATCCATGATCTAGGAGAAAGCAGCCAGAAACAGTGTGGGCAGACCATTACCATGTCTCCACTATGCAGAAATCATGGTAAAGTCAGGAGTGTTTGCTGTAGAATGTGCAACGCGCAGCACAGCCCCCTCGATCCTTTTCAGATCAACTACACATGATACTAAATGAATCTTTTGAGCATTGCATCATTATATTGTTGCTGTTGTTGTTTATTTGTTTTAATCAGCAGCTTTGGAGAGGAGACCGAATCAGGATCGGGACCATGACACATGAAAGGGTGAAGCTCTTTCCTCCCATGCCACAGCCCTAATTAAAATCACCCCCACCAAGCTGTTATTTTGTAGAGGAGGAAGCTGCCTCCCTCCTATGCCAAATATCACAGGGAGGACATGGAATTTTCATAAGGATCACTGCAAGGGATGGAGGGAGTTTTTATTTTTAAGCTAACCCTAACCTCTTCCCTCACCATGATCAGCCTCCTTCTTCCTACATAGATGGTGTTTGAAATTTTAAAAAGAACTGGGCTGTGAATGTCTGTTGCATGTGTAGCCAAAACAGCACCACCCATGCCCAAGGGGGAGGTATCAGCAGGCTTAGAGGGACGCCAAGGTTTGGGGGAACATTAAGGTTTGCAGAAGCTGAGGGGGGACTTTCCCACCCTACACATAAAAAAATAAAACAGGAAGTTCAAGTCCTATAAAGACTGCACTTACTGGCCATGGATGCTGACTAAGGGGGAATGGGACAGAAATCAGGTGGAAGAAAGAATAGATTGAAATATCATCAAGGAGAGCATGGTTGCTAAAATGAATGTGAGTGTGCTAACTTGAACATACTGATACCTGTATGTGTATGATCAGATTGTGCTTACATGGCTGATTTGTGTGTCATAGACTGCTGTTTACAGATGTGTCAGGGTGTTTTAGTAATCTACTAAGTCAGTGGTGCATATTCTCTTAGCATTGTATTGTCACCTATTTGGTTATTAAACTTTTGTTATAGATCGCTTTTTTTTTGTTAATCTGTCTAATGCATTTAACTCAATTGCGGCATTCATCTGCTGTGTTCAGATCATGCAGAGTTCAGATACGCTTCCCACCCAGCAAGCCCTCAGTGTTCTAATGCTCTTGAAGACACCAAAGGCATTTTCTTCCAAGTGGGGAGTAAAAGAAACCTCGAATATTACACTACTAGCCAAGAGCAGTTTGGGAGTGGTTGTAGCAGCTTGAACAACAGTACGCAAGTCCAAGCGCCAGAGAAAGTGACTCTTGTCGTTGATGGCACTAGATTTGTCGTAAATCCCCAGATTTTCACAGCTCATCCTGATACTATGTTAGGAAGGTAAGTGTCTTCATTACCTTTTTAAACCTTGCAGACTACTTAAATGGAAACAAAGTGTATCGCTACTGCTGCTGATAGGGTGTGCTTTGCAGTCTGAATAGGGTTAGGAGGATGCTTTGTAATTTTGGAAGGCCACCTAGCTTTAGAATTCTGTCCTCATCATTCCCATTGGAATTTGAAGGTGTTCCACTTCATGAGATTATTTGCATTTAACTTGTTAATGCATTCCAGTGAAATCAGATAACTCCCAAGGAAACGGGTTTAGCATGAGGGACCAGAATGAAGGTTCCACTGGAGATGTTCATGGTACATTCACCTTATGAGACATCTCAAAGATTATGTGATGAATGCCACTCACTGGTCTAGATATGAGCAATCTTAAGGCAAGGATAAGGAACCTTTAGCTCTCCAGAAGTTGTTGAACTACAACTTCTGTCTGTCCCAGCCAGCCTGACAAATGCTAAAGGACCATGGGAGTTGTAGTCCAGCAATATCTGAAAGACCACATATTCCCTATCCTTGTCTTATGATCAAACCACAAGAGGCTTTTATACATTTTCATTTTATTTACAAAAAGCAGCCATAAAGAGAGGAATAGCGGTTTAACCCTTTTCTAATTCTCCTCTGCCCCCAGTTACTGGTGCCTGTCCCAACTGTGTTTTATTTTTAATAGAGCAAATAGCAGCTTATGGGGGCAATTTTCAGCAAGACGCTGGTGTGGGACATTAGCTCTCCCACCCCCACCCCCGTAACAACATCCTGATCTAGATTCCTTCCCACTCACCCGCAGCCTCCCCGTGGCTGTTTTTTTTGTGAATGAAGAGACATAGCCAGTCTCAACACATTTTTAGATTATTTTAATTCACGTCCAGTGGTCAGATCCTGATTGTATCCAGGTTTGAAGGCAGCATGTAAACCCTCATTTCCTGGTTTAGGAATTAAGGATATAAATTAAGGATATCCAAAGTTGGATGCATGAAGGCAGGGGCAAAATGGAATTATGTGGGCACACAGTTCATTCTCAGATGATGACATCTGAACTTTTGAGAACTGCATGCCATTTTCTCAGCTGTGTAAAGTGCCATCCATCTCCTTAATAAAGGGCTTAATAATTACTGCATTCTCAAAGAAACACTTGCCATAGTTCTTTATTTAGATAGTTTCAATGTGCTCTGTTTACTTCAACACACCAGCTGGGATTTGGAGACAGCCATCTTAAACCCATGTATGGATTATCATTTCAGAATGTTTGGACCAGGACGAGAATATAACTTCACTCGGCCGAACGAGAAGGGTGAATATGAGATTGCGGATGGAATTAGCTCCACGGTGTTCCGGACTGTGCTGGTGAGGAAGCCCTCAGAGTTGCAGAAGTAGGGTTCTTCCTCCAGTTTGTAAAGTTCCTATCCCTGCCTTCACATTCAAAGGAACTTTGAGCTTCTCATGTATCTTCTGCTTTATTTATAGATCTGTTTCTTTCTCGTTTCCTTCCTATTTCTTACTTCTAAGACAGCGCCTATCACTTATATTGTGTATTGTTGGGAATAACACTTTCTGCTTTGTCCCATATAACTAGTAATGTTTTTCGTTCATGGTGTATGTACGCAGTGCTGGCTCCAGGTTTGGGGATGTCCTTGGACAAGACACCCCCAGTGGTGGCCCCCTCCCTCAGTGAGTCTACCGCCTCATGGCCATTATGGGCAGCTGTTGCTGCTCCTCTGCCACCTCATTGTCATTGCTCCCACCTGCTCGCTTGCCGGGCAGCCAATGAGCAAAGAGGCAGCAGCTCCTGCACCTCCTCCTCTCCACCATTTTTGTTTGCTTGATGATCCCCCCGAAGGCCAGAGTGAGAGGCAGGTGAATAAGCAGGTTGCAATAGTGAAGGGAAGGAGAGAATCCAGGGACTCTCATCAGTGGATGCTCTGATGGAATATGGGGCAACTATGTCAATCCTTGGTGCCAGCTCTGGTGTCATGGTAGAATATGGTGCTAATTCCTAATGTTGAGCTTTAAAAAACAAACACAATGATTTAAAAGACACATTAATCTATTTTCAGTGTTAGATCAGAATAATGAGATAGCTCAGTTGGTAGAGAACGAGGATCTTAGGGCTGTGGGTTCAAGTCCCAAGTTGGGCAAAAAGATTCCTGCATTGCAGAGATGACCCTCATGATCTCTTCCAACTCTACGGTTCTATGAGCTGAACTCCCTAGTCAATAACCAGATGGGAGGCTGCCTGGTGCCCTGGGTGCATCCCTCCATACTTTTGGAAGGAAGAACAGGATACAAGTGAAATAAACAAGAGCAATAATAAACACAGCTGCGCTTTCCTTTCAGGATTATTACAAAACTGGAATCATTAACTGTCCCGATGGGATTTCTATTCCGGATCTCAGAGACACGTGCGACTACCTTTGCATCAACTTTGATTTCAACACAATCAAATGTCAAGACTTAAGTAAGTGTGGCCAAACTCAAAGGAGCGGCGGGTAAATGCTGCGCATGCCGGGGCCATTCCGCTCCAGACCCTGCTAGTCAGGGTGGCATTTGAGACGTAGGGAGTTGGGTCTCTGACTTTCTCTTAGGCGGCTTTGAAAGAAGGTATCAATGGCTACTAGCCATGATGGCTATGTTATGCCTCCACGGTCAGAGGCATTAATGCTTCTGAATACCAGTTGCTGGAAACCGCAGGCGGGGAGAGTGATCTTGTGCTTGCGGGTTTTCCAGAAGAGGCCCCTGGTTGGCCGCTGTGAGAACAGGATCCTGGGCTCAATGGACCATTTGCCTGATGCAGCAGTGCTCCTCTTAATGTCCTTCCAGCTGGAGGCAAAGGGCTCACATGTGACTTATTTCCTGTTAGGTGCATTACTGCATGAGCTGTCCAACGATGGGGCTCACAAGCAGTTTGACTGCTATCTGGAAGAGCTGATCCTGCCTATAATGGTGGGCAATGCCAAGAAGGGAGAACGTGAGTGTCACATCGTGGTGCTAACGGATGAAGACATCGTGGACTGGGATGAAGACTACCCACCTCCAATGGGAGAAGAATACTCACAAAGTAAGGGATCTGCATTTAATTTTTTAAAAAATATAAATAATACAATTTATAGAAAGTTATTTTAAAAACCAACTTAGGCCACCGCATGGTATACATGGTGCATGTCGTCTTAGCAAAGGCTGAAAAAAGAAAGAAAATACAGTTACAAATGGGGGTGATTTATACCAACCAAAAAAATTCCGAACTGTATACCTACTGTCTAACTTTTTAAAAGTGTTATAAGGATAATATAAAATTGTTAAATGAATAAGAAATTGGTAGGAATTTCTTTTTTGCCTTGTGCAGAGGCTCATTCCCAAAAATCCTTGCATTCAGTGTCTGGTTATACACATAAAAGTCCATTTGATTACAGTGTTTAAGAACTATGGCTAGATGTAAGATTGTAGGCTGAATGCCTACCAACCCCATAATCTATACATGTAGTAAATCTGTAATTTTGGTTGATATGTTGCACATGATCCAAGCATCTTAATTCATCACACCCTCCCTCTTAACAGCAAATTTGCCATGAGGGGAAAGCAGTTTTTTCTGAAGCAAATTTTTGCATTGCTATTATTAATGGTTTGCAGAATATTTATTTATTATTATGTATTAAATTGGACTGAGGTGGGAGAGGCGACTTACCAATTCCCCTTGTGCCTTTCAAACGTCCGCTTGGTGTGGGAGGTGGACCTGTCATCTTCCCTCCATGGGCAGAAGGATATGTTCCATGTGTGGAAGGTGAAGTCAGGATGCAACCCAATATTATTTAAGAAATGTGTATCCTGCCTTTCTAGCAAATGGTGCTCAATATCACAGATGATTATTTGTTTATTTATTATTCGGCATTATTATTATGTATTGTTGCAATTTTTTTTTAATTAACAAGATTCTTATACCATTAAAAATTAAATCAACCTCTAAGTGGTTTTACACAAAATATTAATTAAAAAATGGCAAAAAACAGATTTTAGAACCAGTGAACGTCCCAGAACATGTGAAATTGCTAGTGTCAAAGGTTTTAACCATCCTCCCTCATTTTTTAAAAAACTGCTAACCTGTCAAACTAGCCACTGCTACCGTTGCCAGATTTTTAAAATATTATTTTCTTTGTTGTAGTTCTGTATAGTTCTAAGCTCTACAGATTCTTCAAGTACATTGAGAATCGGGATGTAGCAAAAACGGTTTTGAAAGAACGTGGCCTGAAAAACATCCGAATTGGCATTGAAGGCAAGTAACAGTGTTTTCTGAATAGCAAAAGCTTTTCAAAAGAAGCCAGAAATTTCCTGTAGCAACTCTGCATTTACTGGGTCTACTAACAGATAGCTCAGTCACCCATGTACTAACTTTGCTGCTCTGCAACCCTTCGATTTTGGGTCACCAATTTCACGACTAACCTTTTTTTGCAGAGGGAGCCCTAAACGTTGCCTGTATCTGACGCTGCTGGCAAGAGCCCTGGGATTAGCTGTGTTTCATTTGGAGATGCTATTTGGCAGTCACCCCTGGGCTGAAGGCTGTGTACACACCAGTGTTAATGCACACGTGGGTTGTTCAGATTTTGTTTTTCCATGTGTGCTTTGGGGAGGTTTGTTCACCCACATGAGTGCTTTCAATTGAACTCTGCCTCAGTGTTTTCCACCCATTATAGGAGGCAGATGTACAATGTTTTGTTGTCCCCTCTTCACAGTTAGTACTTCTTCACCCTTCTTGAGTTCCAGAAACCTGAAGTCCATACTGCACAAATAGCGCACACAGTATTTGTTCATTTGTGTGCACTGCCAATTTTTATTGTATTTCTGAGATACGCGTTTTCAGGTATACTGGACTTGCGCAGGGCAGGTTACTTTTTTTAAAAAACTGTGTGTATGTGTTGCACCCAGGGGGGGTGTTGATAGAAGACACCCAGCAAAACATCACCACACACACAACAAGAACAACACTGACACAATGTGCTTCAGTTCGTCTGCAGTTGGGTAACAGTCAGTTTTATACTGTATTCCTACCCCGCCCCCCTTGATTACTGCATTGTCCACAGACCAGGACAATTGAAATTAAATGTTGGAGAGACAGGGAGCACAGGCTGTCATTTGGATGAGGACAATGCCATGTGGATGGCATGGAAAACATGCACCCATGGGACACCTTGAATCCACTTTAAACAGTGTTGTCTATACAGCCTGTACAGTTTCATCAGCATAGTCCTAGTCTGAACTCTGAGGATTCTCTTCCTTTGGGCTGCTCACAGGGCCTGGGCCTGGGCTGAGATGGTTAACAGTGCCAAAATATTTGTTTCAGGTTACCCCACCTGTAAAGAGAAAGTGAAGAGGAGGCCTGGAGGGCGCTCGGAAGTTATCTATAATTATGTGCAACGCCCATTCATCCAGATGTCGTGGGAAAAGGAAGAGGGAAAGAGTCGCCATGTTGACTTCCAGTGCGTTAGAAGCAAATCTCTAACAAACCTCGTGGCGGTGGGGGAAGATGTGGCGGAAGACCAGGAAGTTATGCTGCATCACCCGCCCCAGGTGGATGAACTTGACAGACTGAATGCACCATTTTCTCAAATGGATCCTAATGAGCTTCCAGAATAATGTAGCTAAAGTGCAGTGTTTTCTCAAATGGATTTGGTTGATTGACTGGCTCAGGACTGAATATCCAGATCGGCCTGCTGCTAGTTTTCATACAAGTGGATCTCTTAAAAGCTATTGCATTACCATAATTGCTCTATTCTCTAAATACACTCTACATAAGTAGAAAGGACTAGTGTTATTACGTCATTTGCTGAGGCCTCCCAAGTATTCTCCAATGAGAACGTGGACTCTGGGAATTAAGTTTACATCTCACCCTGTCAAAGAACAGAAATAAAATGTTCTCATTGAATTGAAATACGGTGTAAATATACATACAGTTCTGTGTTAATGCTTAGCAGCCATCGCTTAGTTACAAATAGGCCAAGCTCTATTGCAATAATGACTTCACTGTCATGGGACAATTACCAGTAAGAATAAAAAAACTATGCTTCCCATCAGTTGGGTGCAGCTACACAACGGATAGCCTATGCAGTCCAGTGTTGTTGCTTTTTAAGTTTCCTTTTCAGTAGCTGTCCCACCAACCCCTTAAATTGCTTCTTAATCTCCAGGACCTGCTGGGAAGAGATTGAAAACTCTGATTTCAGAGGCATACCAAACAAGTTCACTCTGAGTCATCAGTTTTCAAGAAACCAGTCTGCACTCCAAAATGCTGCGTTTTCAACTCAAGGCACAGTCGCTTTGCCATCCCGATACTTTAAAAAACAGAACCGGACACAAGTTATTGCATTAGTGAAACCCATAAAAGTTGTGCTTTTAGGCAAGTTTACCTAGGAGTAAATCCTATTGAAAAGCGTGGGACTTTTCTTTCAACTAAACTTGCATAGGATTGTGCTGCAAGTCTTCTGGAAAAGGGTTAAAGTTCTTTATATTCAGCCATACAGATGAAGAAGCGTCTCTCTCTACATCTTGTATCTGTAACTTGCTCTCTATTATGACTCTTGTAAATTAGTAGGAATATCTTTTAAGGTTACAGTGAGTGCTGAATCCTACTGGATTCAGCAACAAACCCAAGTGCAGAGTGCTTGGCAGGCGCAGTACAGATGTACAGTATTGCATAAACATTGCAATGTTTTCTCAGCATAGCCCTGCCAATCTTCTCTATTTTGTGTTGCTTCCTTGGTTCCGTTCCAGGATTCTCATCTTGCTGTCACTTGCGTGAAATATAATATTGAACCTCTTCAAATGTTCAACAACAGCACATGGTATTAGTGCTGCAGGGGCTGTACGGCTTCACAGTGCGTGTAGCAGAAATGACTGTCTTGATTCTGGATGATGATTAGCTTTAATGGCTGCAATAGAAATTATGATTTAGGATTGTTGATGGGAGGGGATGCTGCTCTTTGGTGCTAGGATGTTCAGATCATTACCAACCTTGCAATGTTTTTTTAAAAGTTTGGTGGGATTTAAGATTTTATAATAAAAAATGCCCTAAAAGTTCCTAACATGAAGAAAGCTAGCACTTCTCGCCAGTATGTTAGCTTTCAGTGTACAGGATGGGTAGGCAAACTAAGGCCTGGGGGCCGGATCCGGCCCAATCGCCTTCTAAATCCGGCAAGGACGGTCTGGGAATCAGTGTGTTTTTACATGTGTAGAATGTGTCCTTTTATTTAAAATGCATCTCTGGGTTATTTGTGGGGCATAGGAATTCGTTCACCCCCCCAAAAAAATATAGTCTGGCCCCCCACAAGGTCTCAGGGACAGTGGTCCAGCCCCCTGCTGAAAAAGTTTGCTGACCCCTGGTGTACCGGGAGATTTTGATGGGTTAAGCTCAGGGAAACATGCTGGTAGTTTGAATGGGAATTGGCTGTTATATGAGTTATGCACTGTAGTTACGGTATACCTGCCCATTACATTAAAGTGCTTCAAAAGCTTAGCCCACCCTCTGCAAGGTAGAGAAAAAACTTTTGACACATTCAAATGAAGAATCTCACTGCAGAAGAAAGCAAATACACACCTGAAGTCCTGAATTTTCAGCAACCTAAGTGTGATTTTAGAACAGGTTGTGTATAATGCTGGTCTGAATTAACATGTAGAGGACTTTGCAACTATCAGCACCTGCAATTATATACTTTTTTAAAAAAAATCAATGCACCAAATATCTCTATCTTAAGAGCCTCAAAAGAACAAATGTGTAGCTGATTGCCATCTACTTGGGATCTGCTTAGAGGAATTAAGTGAATAGATATTGCCAGATAGTGGAGATAGCTTTCCAGAGTCAGAATAAATCGAGTTAATACTTCCAGTGAAGGGAGAATCACCCAGGGTCACTAATTTATGTAACAAATGGTCATTTTAATTTTCAATTAAAACTTTTTGGTTTTATTTCCAAGCAAGATTAATGGACTATGCTATTGTTACACTGTTGAAGATGTTAAAACAGACTTGTAGCACAATCTTATACATGCTTATTCAAAAGTAAGCCCCATTATGTTCAAAGGGGCTTTCTGGAAAGTGTGCATAGTTTTGCAGCCTTAGAACTGTATCAAGGAAGCTTTTATCATTTCTGATGCAGTTATTTTAACAGCCATTCAACCTCTCACGAAAGTGCCTACAGCAACGTTTTTCAAAAGCTGCACTACTTGTGCTGCCCACAAGGCAAGGTGGTCTTTTTAGAAATATTTAATTAGAAAAATATAGGGTGATTTATAGACAGGTGTCAACATTGAAAGAAGCTCCAGCATGAAAATTATTGGAGAATACTTCCAGTATTAAATTCAAAAATTTGGGTAAGCTAAGTTTGCCATTCTCACATCTGTGTAAGAGCCATTCCCACGAATGCACTGAATGTTGCTAGAAAATTGAACCACTTTTACAGCTGGTTTGATGTGCTTGTCCTTTGCAGAAACTACTTACCTGTGAGGGTGGTGAGAATTTTTGATAAAATGTCTAACCTAGGAATTTTCAGAGTAGCTGCTTGGAAGATTACAATTTCATACAGTAGCCATGCTTGCTGCAGCTACATTGGTGTTTCCAAAAGAAAGTGCTCAAAGTCAGATACACCTTTCTAGACATTCAGGGATGCATGCTGAGCCCACAATGGCTATAACAACATGATCATGTCTGCTGCATGTTCACAGAACATATAGCTGCCCTTCACATTTTACATTTGCTGCAGCAGACACACTAGTATAGGCAAAAACAAAGACAACTGCCACAGAAAATGAGAGGTAATTCTTAGGATTCCAAAAACAAAGAAATTCAAAAGTGAGGCAACCCCAATGAACTTGAAGAATGACCATTGCAAACGAAGTCAGACCTGACTTGAAAGATTACACTTACTCCAAATTATAACTAAACCTTCATAGAGCCAATATAAGCCACTAAAAGCTTTTCACAAATAATAGGTTGCTTTCCCAAAGAAACAATGTATTTATATCTGATGCAAAATAAAAAAATAAAGTATTATATAGCATTGTCCAACTAGGAATATTGGACTAATGGGATGTTTCTATTCTGGGGTGATTTACTTCCTCTTCCGTTATCTGTAATTAAAAAGGCACAAAAACAAGTTTCTCCTTTTTTATTTTGTTCAATATTCAGTGTTTACATTATCATACCTTTAAATAAAAAAACTTTTAAATACTTTACTGGTAGTTCTTTACGTCCTGCGTCTTAGTTTTCAAAGATTTGCCTTTTATCTGCTGTGTTATGTTTCTAATCTTGTGTTGTCTCTTTGGTTGTCGTTTTTCTAGTCAACTTGAATATTGGTCTGGAAAATCATTTTCTTTGCATTACCTTGATGCTAAAGAACAGTGTGCCCCTACCTGTACTCTCCAGAGGGAGCCACACTGGCCCCAGCCCCCACCTGTGTGTACACATGGTATAAAGAATGTATATGGCCACATCCCGTGTAACAGGAAACACCTGGTGCCACCACTAACTCTTTAACACATGTGAAGCAACCCTGAAGATATTTCATGTTAGAACAAAAGTTTGCAAAACGCATGCCTGAGAAGGAGGATGCTCATAAGTGCTCTCAAGCATAACGAAAAGGGTTTTTAAGACACTTTCTTTTTATGTACTTTTTCAACTTTCAATGAAGATGTCGGGGGGGGGGAGGAATTCAGCGACTGGAATAAGTGAACATATCTATTACTTATTATTCACTCTTATTGCACCTAATCAACACACTTAGCAAATACATCCAGGCACCCCCTTTGATTACCTCAGTGTCATCTGTTGCGAACAACAAGCTTTTCAATTCAAATAACTCACAAAACATTAGCAAAACTACATTTATTGAGGAAGTATTTTAAACAGCTCAGAATGCAAAGACACTTCCATAAAAATTGGTCTTCACACAAAACCCCAGAATCATGTACAAAGTATATGAAATTTTACACTGCAAGTAGTTACAGCTGTATGCAGATACAAAATCAATTTTAATCGGCCATAAGGCGGAACCCAGGCACATTGGTTAAGCAGTACCTAAGTGCAATACTCTGCTAATAATCACACACAACTGGCAGCATTGCTCATCTTAAGTCTCAGCCAGGAATTTTCTCCTGTACCCAGACACGCCAAAAATGTAGCATTTTGCAGCTTTTTGTTGTGCCAGAGAGACATCAGCGCTACTAAATACCTCAGTAGAACAGGAAACAGAAAAATGATACGAACTTGCATTATGAGTAAGCTGTGTAATTGTTTGGCTTCTAGATCTACAACTGCTTTCGAAGAAGAAATGTGCCACCCCGGAAAGGCAACAGTTTCTCTAGAATTTACTATGGGCTGCTGCAGGGTGACAAGAGCTAGGAACATGAGATTGGCAGCCACCTGTGGATTGTGCACTCCCTGCCACATTAATTGTGGTTAAGCATTGGCATTAAGCATTGACACTTACAATGGTCATTAAGGCTTATTGGGATTCCTGTTTAACCAGGATTTAAACACAGGTTTCAGATCTTGGTTAAATGAGAACCTTAATTCTCTAAATTAGTGCCAACAGAATACTTAACTGATTAAAGAGGACATTTACTGCAGTGACAGAGTTCATGCGGAAGCTCTCTAAAAAAATTTGTTAAAAGGAAGCCAGCATTATTTGCAACAGCCAATATATGATATTCTCAGTTAATACTCCTGTTTTAGTGTTGTGTGTTTTTTTTTTAAAAAAGCAATACCATAGGAATCCAAGTTATAATGTTGCTATGAGAGGGCAGCATTGATTTTAACCCCCCCAAAAGAAAATGGTTCACAGACTGATGTTCCAAGTTCCCAAATGCTTAATTCTCATTTCCATAAGCTTGTTGATGCATAATGTCCTTATTTGTGGGGAGCCTTCATTCACTGCTCTGGCAGTGTTAATTAAGCACACTGGGTGACCTCTGGCAATTCAACTATGCTCTTGGCTGCTGCAGAGACTACAGGAACAAGGATTCGACCTCAGTTATAACAATATGCTATATTCATTCTCACTACAATACACAAAGTAAATCTTTCAAAAATTCCCAACAGTAGAAGACAGAAAATTACACCTTGTACTGCAATTCAATTTACTCACGTACACACAATGCTTGCACTCATCTGTCACACTGTGGCACAGAGATGCTTTGCTAAATGGTCATAATGCAAAAGGAAACATCAAAGAGGCATGCAAGAATCTTGTTTTCTTCCCTTTTGTGCAAGTTATTGGCTGGGCAGCTCTCTAGGCAATCAGGTTATCCTGAGACCTTCTACAGCTTTTTTTAAAAAAAGGCTTTTAAAGCACCAGTTATGTATGCTACATATTTTCAACATTCAGCAAGCACCAGAAATTTAACTTTAAACCCATCATTATCTAACCAGTAAGCAAAACTCTAGCCCCACCATGTGTAGGACACGTCATTGGAGCACAGTAATAATTACAAACTAGGCACAGAGGATATATTAAAGCAGGAATAAGAGTTACCTCCCTATAGCCTCTTCTCTAGATACATTTTGTGGACAAAGCCTAAATGCAAAATATTTCATTAGTGACCTTCTTACTGAAGCTTCTGTGCATTGCCACATCTAGAAAACTAATTAAGGACCAGGATCTATCTGGATTTATAGGAGTACTAAGAAAGATAGGAAACACTCATGGTATAATGATTTTTTTTTGGGGGGGGGGGTTCCAAACCAGTACATAAGACTGCCTACCAGTGAGGGGTATGTGTAACAGTGCAGATTGGAGAACAACCACTATTAAAACAGTTTTTAATGTTTTAGCACATTAATCCCTCCAATTAATTTGCTAAAACTCCGATCTGATAAGGACAGATGAACCATCAGAGGACAAGTGAACTACTGCATAATTATGCACATTCAGTGAAAATGACTAAGACACCTGTTATTGAAATATTGCAGGCTTCATCAGATCTCCTAAAGGCAGAGACAACAATAATATTTGACGACTATCTCCTAAATTACAACTGAATCCTGACCTTTGTACAAGAACAAAGGACTTCAACTTCTTTCAGCCTATTTGGGCATCAGAGCACCTTACTAAAGGAAAGCTTAATGTTTTTACTAAATCGCCCCGTAACATAGCCTGATGTACAAGGACCATCCCAAGCTATCATGTTTAGGTCTCCTCCTCTGGCTTTCCTGTCTTCATTTTGGCTCCAGATGCACTAGGTCTCCTCCTGTACTGTTACCTGCCCCCATCCTCAGTCTGGAGCTTAACATTGTCTTGAACAAATGATTTCAAAGATAGTTATCTGAACAATATAGTGAACTACATGAGATACACTAAATGATGGCAGTCTCATGTATCATGCAGAGCCTGAGAGGGCAGGGGTCCACCTTAAGAATCTCAAGAACACTCAGAGGGTCAGTGCCACCTAATGGCAACAGCCCAAGACGTAGAACTGCACCATGTAGATCCTTTGAACAACCAGTCACTATGATCCCATTACTTCCTGTAGAGCACTCCTAGGTTATCCCAAAAGGCACTTCAGGGCTCTCTGCGTCCAAGCTTCAGAAAGATAAAGCTCCAAAGTATATTACGCCACTAGCTAAACACTTACATTTTACAACTGTCTGCTTGCAGCAACTTCCTAAGCTTTCATTAATCAAAGTCTTGAGGGTGAGAAGTAGGGAAAGAATCTGAAAAAGCAGGGCTCCTTTCACAGTATTAACTATGGTATCCTAATAATGCTATTAACAGTGATTTCTCTCTTACTACCAAGTAGAATGCAGTTACATAAATCTCACAAGGAATCATCTTTAGCTCTCTTGACAATGCTTGTAAAAAAGCGTAACGTTCCCCAAATCTGAAGTTTAGAAGGGGGAAAAACTCAATACTTTAGGATTACTATTTTAGTACCAACAGTAAAGTGCAGCAGCTTTTGAGGCCATTGTTGGGTTGAAAAAATTGCTATCCAAAAGGCTTTTGAACTAAGTATACAACACACTAGTGACAATTAAGGCAATACAGGTTTTGCCCTCCTATAGGATAAGCTTCTGAGAATTTGGTCTACCTCATACTAGTTATTGCTCTGTTTCCTGTACAATACCTTAGCCCTTAGAATTGTGCTGTACCTTTGCACAGCACTTGTAAAACAGAAGATACAAAAAAAACCCCAAACCACAATTATGTTATACTCTACAATGTAAATAAAAGCTTGCACTCTCCTTCTTGAAGTAACAGTCTTAGGAATTTTCACTAAAGCCAGAATAACCTATTTCTGCAATAAAATCTGCAAAGGCAGGCTCATAAGTGCCATTTGTGGAAGTTTTCAATGCATAAATCCATTTAAATGTAAACACTGTGCATAATGATGTTATTTTGCACTCTTCTCAAGAGTTCACAGGCCTCAGATAAAGTTTATGAAGCATAGGAGAAAAAACTTGTGCTGACAGGAAAGAATGAAGGTTCAGGAATAGTTTTGTTGTGAGTCACTACTTTCCTGCTTTCATGTATGAAGGTATTGCTCCTCGAGCTGTCAGGCCTTCAAATCGCTTGTAGGTATAATTTATAAAGACCCAGTCTTTGTTCTTGTAGTCTGTCTCTGGATGGTTGCTTGTGGTCACTGATTTTAAAAAAGAATATAGAGGTACTAGGTTATTAATAATAACTAAGGAGTTTAACAGAACACAACTTTGCATTAAGAACATTTTAGGAAAACCCTGGACTCCTTCAGTTTTTTTCAAAAGTGCAAATGTTTCCGTTAGAATTACAGACAGCCAAATGTAAAGACACCTCAGAGTAGCCTCTACAAATCTGTTCTGTCAAGCCATCATTCTGCATGCTACTGAAAGCCCTGAACATCATGTCTAGCATATGCTAAAGCGGCTGAGAAAGTTAGGGAAAGAACCTACTTTGAGAAGCTTCCTCTCAAAGACAATTTTATTCATTAAAATATTTTGCTCTGGGTTAAACCAAACCTGTGACACTTTCATGTCACTTTTGTAAGTTTTTCCAGATTTGTATTACCAGAGAATGCTCCAAAAGTATCAATAAAGAGGGAAAAAATGATTTAACAATACCAGAAGCAGAAAAAAACCCAAAATTAGGTCACTAGATATTTTTGGCCACAATGTAACACAGAGTTAACCATGAGTACATGAAGTTAACTGTGATGTCTTACTTGGCTATATTGGATTTTGGACTGTGCTTCTTACATTAGACAAAACCCTTTCAGCAGGTCGAGCTCAAACATAATGGAAGTGAGAGCATGAGGATTTGCAAAACTGAGCCTGTAGTAGACTATGAACTATTTTATATGAAATACCTACTTCTGGGAGAGAGATTAAAGCTAAAACTCTACATAAAAAAGAAATAAAATCCAAAGTGGAAATATCTACCTGCTGGTTTAAGGATATCAGATTCCGGAAATTCATCGAAGTTTGAAGTATCGTCAATACTTTTGATTTCTATGGATATTGCCGCTGGTCTCTCCCTATTAAGAATTGTTCTCAATTAGAGTTTATAATGCAAGTAAGTACCAAAAATCAAAATCTATGTCAGAGGTGCTTCTAAAGTTCAAACTTTGCCTTGCTCATAGGGAATTACTGCACACTAAGCAACTGAATTAGAAAAACTTAAAGAACAGTGTCCTAGAAGAAATAAAACATTGTACCTGATATGCTCCCAGTCAACGGCTTCAAAAAAGGGGTTTGTTTTGATTTCTTCAACACCTGGGGCACCAATTCGGTGCTCCCATTCACAGCAAAATCTGCACAGACAAAAAAGGCAGCATAGAATATTCAAAAAGTGGGGAAACGAACTACTAAGTGGGAAAGGGAACAACTGAAAGTAAAACAAATAGAATTCAAAGTAAATGCAATTTTTTTTCAATGGAAGCCTCTAGAACAGGTCTCTATATGCTGGAAGAAAAAAACCTTAGTATCTGTGTGGGGTTAATGAGCGTTGTTTTTAAAGCCATTTCACATTATTTCCCAATCCTCCAAAACACTGGGAGCAGTGCAATAGCTGCATTACTCTGATTTTCCTCCAGGCATCTGATCATAAGGCATCATGTTCCCCTTCCTAAGCCCTTTGTGCATTACTGAGAAGTTGTGAGGGTCCAGAACATTTTTATGCCATATTAATCAAACCACTACAATTCTGTGTCTCTTCCAGTGAGATAGGGACTGCTTAATACCACTTGTTATGATATATGTTTCCCCAATGTTTCATTATCTGGCAATGTAATAAACTGCAAGAATTTCAATGCTTTGTTTCTTCTTTTTTCCCCTGTTCTGTTTAACGTGCTACTGCTTCCAGGCATATCAAGCAGAATACTCTTTTGAATTTCTGTGCAACTCAAGAGTTCAGACACTCACTGAATATTTTCCAGTGCACAGAACATTAGGAGCTAGGGGAAAGTTGCCTCTAAAACTGGGATTCAAGGAAGTTTAGAAGCCGCACAAGTCTCTCTCGCTCTATCCTGACTTTTGCTGGAGGTTCAACATAAGGGAGAATGCAACATACACAATACATAAGGGAATAAATTTCTTGCTTTATGCAGCTGGCCAAGGAAGCTGGAGGCAGCACAGGAGAGGTTCCCACATTCCTGAAAACCCACCATGAAGTAGCAATGGTGCTGTGGATGATGAGGGGTTCCTTGTGGGTACCTAGGCTAAAGCATTTGCCCAAGTTATGTGCTCTCTGGGGCAGACAACTGTTGCAAGTGCTTACAAAAAGGAATAAAGTAAGAAGCAATGTGAAATAAGGAGAGAACAGGGATGCTTTGCCTAAGCAACTTCAAAAACTACCTACACAATTTTTAAAATATGGAAGCCTAACTCTTATTTTTGTAAGATCACTAAGCGGTAGCCCAAAGTTGCAGACTGAATGTTGAGAAATCTTGTATCTGATGACAGCAGATAATGATCTGGTACCTTAGAATAAGATCCTTGGCTCTCTCTGAGATTGGAACTTCTGGAGGGAATATTAGGGTCTCTTTCCAATTCATCACCTTTTTGTAAGTTTCTTGAGGAGTCTCTGAACAGAAAGGAGGGTAACCTAAGAAAGTTATGAAAGTTCTGATTAGTGATTAATGAAGTCCAAGTGCAGCTATCATCTTCTACCTTCTTAGTTTTACCGTATTTTTCGCCCCATAGGACGTACCGGCCCATAGGACGCACCTAGTTTTTTGGGGGGGAATAAAGAAAAAAAATTATTCCCCCCCCCAGGTGTGGGGCTGGGGCGGGGGAAGCCCGAGCTTCCCCTGACCCCAGCCCCCAGAACAGGCTGCTATCCGCAAGCCGTGGGAGAGCTGCACGAAGTCGCGCAGCTCTCCCATGGCTAGCGGAGCGCTGTGCGAAGCCCGAAGCTTGGGGCGTGCTGAGCTCAGCGCGCCCCAAGCTTCTGGGTGCCGGCAAGCTCTCCGCTAGCCGTGGGAGAGCTGCGTCTCCCATGGCTAGTGGATAGCTTCCTGAAGCCTGGAGAGCGCACCGACCCCCCTCGCTCTCCAGGTTTCAGCGAAAGCCTGCATTCGCCCCATAGGACGCACACACATTTCCCCTTCATTTTTGGAGGGGGGAAAATGCGTCCTATAGGGCGAAAAATACGGTGTTTTAAGGTCAAGAACCACAATTGCATATAAAAATCCAGCTAAAAGTAGCCAAGCAGAAGAAAAGCAGTATTATATATAACATACTATTTAGAAGCTAGGTGAGGGGCAATAATCCACAATATCAGATTTTTTTATTCTTAGATACATGAATGGTTGTTTCTTACCAATTAGCATCTCATACATGATGACCCCAAGTGACCACCAGTCACAAAGCTTATTGTAGCCTGTCTGCATAAAGACCTCTGGAGCAATGTAATCTGGAGTTCCCACTGTAGAGAAGGCCTGTAATCAAACATCATCTGTTACGCATTTTCTGTTGTATCTTATCAATGATCATAGGGAATATCGAGAAAAAATATGTGGAACAATGACTTCTGCAGTCAATAAACAAGTCTACAAACAAATTTGTTTGTGTCTCAACTTCAGGATGCTGGAGGGCAATGCCATAAACAAAGTCCTACTATGCCTCTTTTGCTGCCATGAAATTATTATTTGAGCAATCTAAAGCAAGAATGGGGAGCCTCTAGCCCATAGCTGTCAATGTTTCCCTTTTTTTAAGGGAAAGTCCCTTATTCCGAATAGGATTCCTCGCAAGAAAAGGGAAAAGTTGACAGCTATGCTCTAGCCTGCAGGCCAAACGTGTCCCTCCCCCCACCCAGGTCTCCCCATTTGGCCCGCCAGGCTGTTTTGGGAAAGTCAAAATTATATAAAATGTCAGCTGTGAGGCGAGTAAGGGTGGGCCTTCAAAGGAGCTTAAAGTGAGCTCTCAATTGTTCTTTTTATGATGCAAGAAGTGCTCCCAACCAAGTGCACCTTGCTCCTTGCTCAAGTTGGAGGAAGCAGTGCTACTCTTTGCAAGCCTCCCCATACCCCCCTTTTAACCCCTGACACCTGGAGTATAAAACAGTCGTGTGGCTTTTAAGCCTCCCGTAAAAAACCATCCAACATCACTTGGGAACCCTGCACAAGTAATTTTACAGGAGGGAGACACAACTTGCCTATCAATCGTGTGCCATAGTGACGACATGTGACTGACAGTTGGGCGATCCCACCTGCCAAATTTGGCCTGCAAAATAAATCCTGATAAAGATCAGGCTTGTGGAGCCAAAAAGTTTCCCTACCCCTGATCTAAGCCTTCAATTACATTTGAGATCCCTTCCAACTCTATGGTTCTATTTCCCTAGATGAGAACAAGTGGCAGAGACGAAACAAGTATGCATTACATACTGATTTCTCAGCTGGATCTTCAAGGTCTTAAACACAAAATATGACATGATCTCTACACAGAGGGAAGAATCTCTAGACAGAGCAATACCTACCAGCTGCCGCCTGTTTCTTTTCCAAGTTTCTGCTTTCCTTTTGGAGTTCATATTCTGAAAAGCTAAAGATAGAAGACAGGTAGTATATTATTACCTTTGCGTTTAATGGCTCTTGTTTCAATGAAGTGTTGATGATGTTTACATTTTTGTACAATAGTTCCCTACTTTTAACATATTCACCTGAATCCCAGTATGCTCCCTCTCCCCACCCCATACAACCCAGAAATGAGCCTGTGTACATGAGAGGGTGAGTATGTGAAAGAGAGCTAGAATTCATTCTAGTTACAATTTATTCTTTGGTGGCTACACTTAAAATCTTCAGTAGGTATCTATCTTGCTTTGCCTTTTTGCAAAAGCGGTATTTTGAGGCCTCCCTCAGATATCATTTAACAGCAGTCATTCCATCAAGCTGCAGCAGAGGGAGAGATGAGCCTACAGAGTCACTTCATCAAGTCCGTTGAGATTGCCAGTGCCATTTGGCTCCCCCTCAACTGTTTATATTCAAGCTGGTCATTATAAGAACTCTGTGTAATTTTAAGAACTGATTATCAAGGTTGCTTGTTTTCTTCTCCCCTCCCTCCTCGTCCCATTTATCATTTTGATTCCTGTCTTTAAGACTGCAAGCCTATCAACATTTCTGCCAAGCAACAAGCTCAAAAGAAGTTTTAGATACAACACAACTTACTGAAGTCACTAGGAAGATTGTGGCTCAAATTTCTATAGAACTCTGTTCTGTGTGCTTTCTTAAGTCCAGTGCAGAGACCAAAGTCGGATAGTTTCACATGGCCCTACATGTCAAGAAACAAGCACAAAATTAAGAGATACAAGGCAACCTCATTTTAAAATTTTCTTTATTTAACAAATTTTATATAACATTTGATTGTATCAAAACCTCTAAGGAGTTCAGGTACTGAATGTTTGACCATGGTCTTAAAAGCCTGAACTGGCCTTGATCTTAGGTTTCTAGCAAGATAAAATGACTCTATCTGACCAACTCATTCGGAACCTTTGGTACTGGGGCTGAGAGAGCTTGGTGATCCATACTGTGCATGAATGGAACGATTCACTTAAGAAATTTTGAGAACATGTACAGGAAGCAAGAGAACAACAACAAAAACTCACAACCAAAATAAAATGTCATGACCCTTCTTCAGCACCCAAAGCATGAATGCCAGGAATCCTAACTAGAACTCCATAATTTCTCTCTCTAGTCTGGGTGGTGGTATGGGAAACACATGCTATTGAGGCCTCCTGGGTTTTGGATTTGATGGAGGTACCTTCTTCTGGCTCGTGCATGACATACCACACATTACTGTGGCAACAAGGTCTCTGAGCAGGTCATTTTTATGCATCTAAGCTATTTAGCACTAGTCTCCCATTTCCATCCCTGGGGTTTCCAAAGTAAATTAACCCAGTAGTAATAAAATAATATTAGATCTGTGCCCTGTGTGTTTATATTGTTTTCAAACCTATCTTTATTACAGAATCATAAAACTGCAGAGTTGGAAGAGAACCAAAGGATCATCTAGTTCAACCCCATTTTTAATTGTATGATTGGAAATCGCCTTGTGATGTCTGAAAAAGAGGATTCATAAATTAATAATAAATATTTTTAACAGTCCCTGAAACAGCTTACAGTAAATAATACTCATACCTTACTGTCTAACAGGAGATTATCTGGCTTGATATCACGATGAATAAAACCCAGCTGATGAATTGAATCTATAGCCAGCACAGTCTCTGCTATATAAAACTGAGTTTCTTCTTCTGTTAGGGTATCTTTTTTCATCAATAATGTCATCATATCACCTGTATGTACAGAGAACAGGAAGTGAAGATAAGTTGTATTCAGTTTCTTTGTAATGCCATATCTGGTTGTTCTTTTAGCTTGGCCTAAATTCCAAGATACACCATCTTCTGTTCCAAGTCTCTTTTTCCTCAGAGCTATTTCATTTACTTCTTAAATAGCTACTTAGTCTATTTTCTTTCCTACACAGGCAAGAAAATAGCATCATAGACAGAATTACATTATGTCCTGGAAAATCTGCATGCGTTACTCCTTGCAACTGCTGGTAAAGGATTCTGAAATGGCCAAAAGTAGATGCCCATTCCATCATAAATATAGCAGCCTAAAATAGCAGAATGGCCTTTTGAATATGCCCTCAATTTCACCAAGTTTCCTTCTAATACGTTCATGTTTCTAATTTCAGCATAAATAAATACAATTTTATCAAATTCCTACATGAGCCAACCTCAACTTATTTCTGTAAATAATGAAAAATGTAAAAATGAAAGTCTGGATATAGCTCTGAAAAGTTATTGAGCAGTAAAGTGGATAGGTCATTTGGTCAAAACAGTAATATTCTCCTTGAAAAACTCACATAAACACCCTGACCAATAAACAATAAAGAGCAAAAGTCAACCTGGAGTAGGACTCCTTCACTATCAGTGGATTTCATATGCTCAAAACTGCCTTTCCTATAGTTTGACTATAGTCTATGGGTACATCACTTTCGATTGTGACTTGTTCAATACATGCTAATCAGTGACTAGTGCATTTCAAAATGGGGCATATAACTTGCCATGTAGTCAGCATTCACAATACTATCAAGCAATATTAGATGACACAGAAGTTCACAATAATTACCTCCAGGCAGAAACTCCATAATTAAGTAGAGGTTCAGCTTATCCTGGAAACTATAGAACATTTTTACAACCCACAAACTGTCTGCCTCCACTAGAATGTCACGTTCTGCTCGAATGTGGCCAACCTGGAGATGAATACATTAAAAAAAACAAAGTTGTAATTAAAGAAATGTTTGCACAATATTTGCAAATGTTGTTCATAACCCAATAGGTCCCCAAACGGCAACTTATTTTTAATATTAGTTCCATTTCAAATTGCAGAATGGTGCATGCCAGAAGCACAGGTGCTGCCCAGTCAAGTGAGTCAAGGTACAGGCAATGGGCTGTAAACCCACCCCAACAGGAAATAAAGTTTTAAAATGAGCAAATCCCTCCCCTTACCAGCAGCAGCCACTTAGTTAAGAGGGCTCAGTTGGGGCTGCCCTTGAAAAATGTTCAGAACTTTCAGTTAATGCAGGATGCTGCTGCTAAAGATTTGACCATCACTACATTTAAGAAGCCTTTGCTATTATCAGCTGCACTGGTGGTTGGTCTGTTTCTGAGTGTAATTCTAGGTTAAAGCCCACAATAGCTTAGGACAAGTTGTCTAAAAGCACTTTTTCTTCCCATTGAGTCTCTCTGCCCTCCGATATCTAGCAAAGCCCTTTTATGCATTCTGTTGCCTTAAGAAGTGTGTTACCACCCACTATACAAGACTGCTTTTTGTGTCATGGCACCCGGTATATTAACTCCCTGCCCAGAAAGATTAGGTTTATATCCTGTTCTGCTGGTTTCCTGTTGTTTGAAAACCTTTCTAGCAAGCCCTTGTTTTTAAGCTTATGTGTTTTTTGGCGTTTGTTGCTGCTATTTTACTGATACTGGCATTGGCCTGGTTTGTAAGTTACAGTATGTAAAATTATGGCTAAGTGTGAATGAGGGAGTGTGTGAGTATTTAGAGGAAAGATCATGACCCCTTTGCTCCTCTCCTGGTCCTGCTGCTGTGCTATTCAGAGCTAAGCCATAGTTTGGCTTAGGGCTATGTCCAAACCCAGGCCCACAGTTTCCAGACAAATGAGCTGCAGCCCATGTTTGTTCTTGGCTTACCACTCGTGGTTTGTGGAGAGAGACAAACCCTGAGCAATGCTAATTCAAATTATGAATTGGCTCTTGGTAGTGTGGCAGCAGCAGGACAAGGGAAGAGCAGAGCGGCTACGATTTTTCATCCAAGTTCCCACCTACTTTCTTGTTCATGCTTAGCCATGGATTGACTTAGCAATGCCTTTTGAAATGAGTCATTGGTTTTTATATTCTATAAATTGTCCTCGTATCTCCATTTTAGAAGGAGAAAATGATTATAAATCCTAAAATAATTAAATATTGCTAGTGTGAAAACACTGTATCCACCAGCGCGAGCAAAGGGTTTCTTAATTTGCAGCTGAAGCCTCTAACTAGGTAAGTGCCTTCTGACAAGCTCCATGTTGCCTGCATCAAAAGTAAATCAGGCATGGAATACAGACAAAAGTGCACTTAGTCACCGAGACACATGCAAGTGGAATTTAAGTCAAAGGCTTAAACGGTTAAGGGAAGAATTCTGAATTTCATTTTTTCTTCTATAGCATCATATTCATACCTGAACACGCATGAAAATTGATCAGCACACATGTATTCAACTTTTGATGCTCAAAACTCTTAAGACAAGACTTACAGCATGATCCCATGAAGGCTTTCTATGAACAAGTCCCATTAAGACTTACTCTTTCATAACTATGCATACAACTGCAGTTTTTGCATAATAAATACTAAATGTTCAATTAAATTTAGATAAAGATGGTGAGTTGGAGATGCAGGTTCAAAAACATCTCATCAACAAGCTGGAAAAACTTAAAATGAAAGTTACCACATTCCATTTGGTGATTACAGAGTTTCTTTTTCCTAGAAGGTTCTCTTCTGCCTTCCATGCATTCAAAAGTTCCCCACAAAATGATAATTTAAGATATCTCATCATGAGTGTAATGATTCTAGCAGAAAAGAAGAACTCCACATTGCTTGCACATTCTTACTTTTGACATCTGCATACTCTCATTAGGAATCAGTATTTACCTGCTCTTTTTCAAGCATATCTGCTTTCCGTAGTATTTTCATTGCATACACATGCCCTGTATCTTTCTTCTGAACAAGCCGAACCTAGAAGTTGTGCAAAAACAATGCACATATTAAAACCCCTTTAGCCATTTTGTTTAAGACAAACAGTTACAGAAAGGAGAATTAGGGGAGGAAAGTGATCTGTTTTGGAGATGATTGAACAATATATAGAGCCTGCTGTACCTACTAGTGTAGTATATCTAGTTTTCAGCTGCTATGGAGCATAACACTATCTGGCATTGACTCAATTATTATTTTTCCTTCCTGGCTAACATTCATGACAATGCTACCCTTCATAATAAATTACAATAAGAGATATGGTGAACACATATAACTGAGACAGGCCTAGGGTACACCCAAAATATTTGGATAATGGGTATAAATAAAGCAGATTATTACTATAGCACTACAATGGAACAGAGCAACTTAGAAAAGGTGTAGACACAGTATATTAAGATAGTTAAGTTTGGAAAACAACATTATACCGTTAGCCATTAGACAATTTTCAGAAAAGCCAGTAAGATACTGCTGCTGCTTAGAGCATTACCTGAATTCTGTAAATAACTACATGTAGGAAACAGGTGTTACCAGATAACTGTTAGGGAGCTCAGCATAAAACTACATTTGGCCAACTGTGTTAACAAATCAACCAATTGTCCATTACTTTAAGAGGATTTTCAAAATTACTAATATATTTTTCAGAAGTGTAGAAACTACCTTTATTGATGGGATACTTGCCCTGAAAGCAAACTCTATGTATTTGCATTTAATAACAATGTGATAAGAGGCTTTTGATGGTGTTGGAGGGTCAGAAGTTGGCTGTCTATACTTTTTAGAAGTCTTTTTCATTTTGAACTCTTACCTCTCCAAATGCTCCTCGGCCTATTACTTTTAAAGATTCAAAGTCTTCCAACCCAAGCCTTGTTCTTTTTAGGCGCAGAAACTCTGTTTCCTTTCGGGCATGTGCTGATCTCCTCATTCTTTTCTAGTTGTTGTTCAAAAAAAGGAGGGGGGGAAAGGTTAATGTCATTTTCTATTTTATTTTTTTAAATCAACAGCTAGGCCAGAATCATTCACAGCAAAAGCTTGTTATCTTTACTCTGGTCTTTGACACCTCAGGTGTATTCTTAGGACCCTCCCTTCTTTTTGTGGCTGCATTCCATAATTGTATGTTTTAAAACTATTTTTAATGTTGTATTTTAAATTGTTGTGATCCATCCTGTGACCTTAGGGTGAAGGGCAGGTAATAACTTTAAATTATTGATGATGATGATAATAATAATAATAATAATACAGGGGTGATGAGAAACAAGACCAAGAAAGCATGTTTCAGCATATGCAATACCTCTTCATCTTTTAAGCCTTCTTCTTCCATAACTTTTTCTAACTTCTTCTGTCTGGAAAAAAAAAGAATAAAGTTTTTGAACAAGGTCTCCACAAGTTCATGCATACAACTTCAGGACAGAATAGAGCTGCCAGGAATTGGAACACTGAATTCCAAGGCTTCATTTCTCAATGCACACAGCAATCAAGATAAACACCCTGCTTCAGCTTGAACTTCTGCAAAACGAACAGGAAATTTGCTCTTATCATGCATTTGCATCATACAAATTAAGTCTTTTGTAAAGAAAAGGGGCACGAAACAAGAGAAGAGTTTAATCATTTATAATAAAAAGGACGTACAAACAAACTGATTGCAGGATGAGCGACTTCTGGAAGGTATCAAGACCTGATTTAGATCAACCATCAAATATCTTACTGCCAGGTCAAGGTGTGTCTGTGGTGGGAAAGGGCTCACAGGAGATAGCTGGCAAAAACAGAGGCCACATCATCGCTGCCAATCTAATACCCAATCCATAATGCACAACACAACTGCATTTGTCACTGGGTGGAACAGTAGAATGTAAAAAGTGGAAAGGACTTCATTTCAAAATGACCTTTGAAACACTATAGAGAGCTTCTTAGACTATAAACTACTTCCATTTCTATGAAAATGATCAGTCTCTTCAATTCTAACCAATCTGTCAGCTTAATAAACCTTTAGTTATTCTGTATATGCAAACAAAAAGCTGGATAAATTTAGGGAGGATATAGAAGGGAGTAGATCTGATGGATTTTAGCAAGGCCTTTCAAGAAAATTGCTCAAAGGCAATGTATTTCAAAAGAACTGAAACTCCTTACGATAGAATTCTGAGGCAAGGGTTCCTGTGAGCTTCATTCAGGTGGTCTTCAGAATGTCCACATTAAATTATTATGTTGATTTTAAACTGTGTTGTATTGCTGCTTCTTTTATTATATTTTACTGCATTATAATTTGAATTCCATAAAATGCAAATTGTAATACAAAAAAATACAATATAAGAAATAAAAAACAAAAAATAATAATACAGCATCTAGCACAATACATTACAAATTATACAACACACAGGGGGGAAATATGAAGCGCGCCCCCCCCTCAAGATCATCAGCTAACCTGAAGTGGTCCCCCAATATCATCCGGGGTGGGGGAAAGCAACCACTGTTCTAGGGTACCAGTCAAGCACACACAATCAAATGTACCTCACGGTTTGAACCATAGAATTGTAGAGTTGGAAGGGACCCCAAGGGTCATCTAGTACAACCCACTGCAATGCAGGAATGTTATTCCATGTGAACTGACAGCATGTCCTAACAAAGATTTCACAAGACTGGATGTAATAGTAAAAGACTGGCAGCAGTGACAAGCTATTTCTATAACTGATCTTCTCATTGATAAGCCTAATAAGCTTTCAACTACAACATCTATAGAGACGTTGGTGGAGTTTCCCCACCAAGGGAAGGGAAATGTGTAACTACCAGAGAGGTGTTTTTCAGCAGTGGCTTCACCTTCAAGGACCTATGTTCCAATTGGCATTCAACAGAATGAAGAGAGGGGTGTTTGTTAAATATTTCAAATAAGGGAAAGCTAAACTGGAACAATGGTTTTATGCATTAATATTTTTTTTATGGAGCACATTTGACCACTACTTGTAGCAGGAAGTAGTTAATATATTTTACAGATAAATATAAAATACAATACTTAGAAGGGAATGAAATCCAGGAAGGAGTAAAATGTGTTTAGAGAGGCTGCTTTTGATTATAGTACACAGTAGAGCCAAGTGCATTTCGCAATAAAAACTGTTTATACTGGACACACTGAAATAAAAATAAAACATAACACTAGAGAGAGAAAAACAACTTTCATTCCAGGAAAATGCTGCTACTAGTTTTCATCAAGCATCTGCAACATATGCCTTTCTTGAAATGCACAACAAGAGGATAGCATGGGCACTGAAAAAATCATCATACTAAAATATTTAAAGGCTTTTTGAGGACTTAAAAGTGCTATAAAAACTTTTAGCAGGATAAGATGATCAGCGTATTTGTGGCATCCATTGTTTCTTAAATCTTGATATAAGGAAAATAACATTACTTCCATTTTCATGAAGCTGGGATATTTACCTCATTTCTCGTTCCTCATGCTGTGCAATCAGATTACTGTAGAAGTTTTCTAATGTCACCTTTGTCATTGTAACTCGCTCCTTGGTGTGGTTGCTCATAGATGAACAAGGTGCTGGGCCAGTCATCGCCATGGTTCCTGGAAGAGAGAAATTAGAAAATATATGTGATCCTAAACCTTGAAGCAAGAAATCTACACTACATGATGGCTTAAATTTAAATAAAGCAGGCAGTTTAAAAATAAACAAAAGCTTTGCAAAACGCAATATGCCCAAACTGGAAGCTACAAGTGTAAAAGGCCACAATGTTGCAAAACTTCCTGTTTTTCTACATAAGTTATGAACAAGGAGGAAAGAAATGTGATAACTATTAAGTCTCTGAATGACATTTTCAGGTTACATTACAAATGATGTCTCTTATTACTTTCATCTCCAGTCAATTAAAATTCTACCAACATGTTTTAAACCAATCATAGTACGTATTTCCATGTAAAAGTATTTACAAACACAGCACAAGCCACATTTATTTCCTTGGAACTTGCTTCTATTGAGTAACAGACAATATCTGCAGGGCTGTCAACAAAGACTGAGCAAATTTGTTTCTGTTGCTCTAGAGCCTAGGGAAAGGGAATATTGATTACACTTTGGAAAGAAAGAATGTCCTGACCATATGAACTGCTAGACAGTGGAACAGGCTACCACACAAGGTAAAGAACTGTTGGAGGTTTCTAAGCACAAGATGGATGGCCACCTAGTTATCACAGATAACTAGAGTAGCAGATAATATACCTAAGTAGAAGTGGACTAGATGGTTTTTAATCCTTCCAACTAAGATTCTAATCAGTAATTTTCAGTTCAAATTTACTTGGAGATAAGTCCCAGTGACTTCAATGGAGCTTACCTCCAAGCAAGTGTTCATAGACTACAGCCCAAGCAGTATTTTTCCTTTGTGTGACAGCAGAGACAAAAGTTTCTGTTCCTATTTTCTTCACAGTGTAACTAGCCGACCTAGAACCAATTAGCTCTTACACATTTGCTTTAGTTAACAATTGTAACTGCTTTTAAAATCTTCCCAATTTCATCAGAACTTCTAACCAAACAAAGGTTATATAAAATAATTCTTTGAACTAATTAGAGTATTTTGCTCGCATGGCTCTTTGAATGCAATCGTTTTATGGTGCACTCCCTTCCAAGAAAAGCTGTACAAAATATAAATTATCTCTTTGTGATACTAGGCAACTGCAGCTCCTTTTTGCCAGTTGAAATTTCCCATTAGAAAAATTATCATCATCCCCAAGAACCAGAGTGTCACTATGGCTCATCTGCAGTGTACCTAGCCTATCATGCCAGTTACAGGATCATGCCGCATGATACAGCCATGGCGTCCCACAAAGTTTGTTATAGGTATTAAGGGTTGTTAGGAAGACCCCTGTTTCTCTCAAGGAGCTACAGTTCTCAGGATCTCTGGGAATTGTAGCTCTGTGCAGGGAATAGGGGTATCCTAACAACTCTGACCATGCTTAACAAACCACAATTGCCAGGATGCTTTTGGGGGGAAACCACAGATGTTTTAAAGTGGCATGGTACAGCTTTAAATGTACAGCACAGGTGGGGCCTACTAGAATTCAAAGCAAAGCCTTCCCCTATGCATTCAAAGCACATTCCCCCCCAAAGAATCCTGGCAACTGCAACTTACCCCTCCCAAAGCTGCAAATTCCCAGCACCCTTAACAAAATACAGTTCCCAGAGCTTTGGGGGCGGAAGGGGCAAGAATTGTGTTTTTTACATGTAGGGCTTATACAATGTCTTAGAATCCCAGGAGACAACTATAAAGGGGCTGCTCCACTCCTAGGCACATTTACTCGGGAGCAATTCCCTCTCCTCAAGTCAGCCTCACTCGCCAGCAGAAACGACAAGGAGAAGATGAAGAAGGGAAAATGAGCACGAGGTCCATTTTCCACAGAAGAAGTTTGCGAGGGGGAAGAGGCCAGCAGGTGGAAACAGAGGAAGGAAAGGCAGAGCCAGGCGTCACGCTAAAAACCTAGCAGGAATCTATGTGGTCAAGAAGAAGAAAATGGGGTGTTTTTTTAAGAGGGGGGAGGCAGGAGACTCAAGAGGAGGAAAAAGAGGACGGGGCAACTTGAGGCGTCTCCCCTCCCCTCTGTGGATGCTACAAAGTACCTACCTGGCAAGAGGGGGCGGGACAGGATGGCGCCCCGGGAGGCAGCTCAGCCTGAGGGGGGAGGAATAACTTTTTTTGGGGGGGGTTAAGAGCCAACACCGGAGGAAAAGACGCTTACCAGACCCCCTTCTGGGAGCAGCGCTGAGGAGCCCCCGCCGTCCAATGCCTTCGCAGCCGACCAACACGGGAGAGAGACGGGGAGCAGCAGTTCCCAGAGGCCGAGCCCCGCCCCTTGCTCCCCGCTCAGCCGCCCCCACCCCAAAGGAAAGCTAGAGCCCGAGACCGGACAAGCGCCGACTGGAAACTCTGGCACAGCCCGCATGCGCAGAAGAGCTCTTTCTCTCTCTCCCCAGCCGCGGCGCCGCCCTCTTCAAGGGGCGAGGCTCGCCTGATGGCCCGTTCCCCGCCCGCAGCCCCAGGAGGCGGGGCCGCCGCACTTTTGCCTAGCCTCCGGCGCTGCGCATGCGCCGGCTGCCGCTCTAGCGCCTCGGCGAGCGGGCCGGGAAGTTCGTGGCTGCTGCGCGCCGCTCCTTCGGCGTATGAGGAAGTCGGCAACTGTTTCCCGGGCGGCGCAAGGCGGCGGCCTCCTCCTCCGCCTCGCCCTCCGCTTGCTTACGCGGAAGTAAACGCGGCACGACGGGCGTTTGCTCCCCAAGTTAGGGGAGGGGAAGGGGAGGATTGCGGGGTTTTAGCGGCTTTGCTGGGAAGTATGTTGGATTCCGCGCTTAGGATCGCACTGCGCGGGTGTTTTGGACGGTCACCGTCGAGCCTGGGCTTACGCACGTTTATTCAGAAGAGGAAAAAATATCTGTTTTAAGGACACTCCACCCACAGAGCTCACAGTTAGGGATGAATCGACGCTTTCATATGTGGAAAGCAGGTCAGGAAGGTTCGTTGGTTCCTCAGGGTGTTTTTCCACAATCCCAAATCCACATAAAGATTGTATTAATTTCAAAAGATCCGAGTTCTTATGCTGTCTTTTCAAGAGACAGGAACCTGCCTTGTTCCCGATCATTGTACAGTTCTTGCATTTGGCTTTTCCCAGCTTTTCCAGACATTGGAACTGCACAATTAGGGAAATAGTGATGCTCACTAGTTTTATCAGATCACACCAAAAACGCTTGCTTTTATTGCTTGTATTGTGGCACTGTAAAAACACCATATGCCAGGTTTATTCGGCATACACCTTTGTGGACTAGAGCCCACTTTGTCAGACGCCTATGCCAAAATAAATTTGTACGTAAAGTGCCAAAGGACTTGTTTTTCCTGCAAGAGGCTAGCCTGGCCACCTCTGTTGATTTTTTTAAAAAACATGAAGTTCTTTAAAAAGCAAAGGGCAGTATTTTACTTCAGCTCTCTCTTTGTCCTGATGATCTATCTTCTGAGACAGACACTTGAGGGAAGGACTATAGACAATGGAAGGATTTATGCAACTAATAGAAGACTGGATAAATACCATAAACCGTACTCTGTGTCTACTAACCCTATGAAGAACCTCTGGTCCCTACACGTTAATATCCATGAATTGATGCCCTAAAGACTGAATTTTAAAATAAGCAACCACCACTTTGTGGTTAAGTGAGGTGTGTATATTTGAGACTGCTGTTGCACATGCACAGTTGACAGCTTGATAAATAGGAGTTGCGGGAAGCTGCAGGCATGGGAAACCAAACAGGTACTTTAATATGCATAGAATGAAGACACCCCTTCTCGGATGTAAATGTGTAAAAGTGACTTGAAGGGGAGTGGGGAGAACAAATTTGCTGTGTTTTAAGCTGCTAATCTGTATATAGCCGCAAATGAAAATTCCAATTCTACTTTTAAATCCACTTACAGGATAATATTATAACTCAGATGAACAGTGACAGCAAATTGTACATAGCTGTGGAAGTCCCTGTTGTTGCCAACATAGGTATCCAGTGTTTTTTTTTCATTTTAATGGCATTTAATATCTTTTCCATTTTCTTCAAAAATGCATAGCTATTAGCAAAATATAATCTTGCTTTATTTTATTTAGATTTCCAGCATTAATGATGTGCAACATTTTGATAAATTTCATGCAAAAAAAATGTATCTTAATGCGTTCAATAACACTGAGGATGCACAGTTTGTTTAAAATGGATCACTGTAAAATATAATCTATCAACATTGTATTATTATCAAAAGATTATTTTAAGACAGCTTAAGCATTATATTTAAAGTAACTGAGACCTTGAATATTTTCGGTGACCCGAATAACAAAGCTATAGCAATACTACATATATATTTTAGCATTTGTACATATTGTTTAACATATTATTATTAAATATGAAGGACAAAATGTGTTCTTGCCATTTATTACTCCTTTGGAATGCACAAAGGTGGCTTTGTATAACATCTCAGCCCTGCACTTGTTGGCTTGGGAATATTCAATGGGACTTATTTGCTAATAATTGTATTTAGAATTCTGCATTCAGAATTTTGTATATGTTTTCCCCAAACTAGTTTAGATCTGAAATATGGCATTAGAAACTAAGAAACCAGTCTCCTTGCTCATGACAAAAATGGTATGTGAAGGCCAGATCCAGTCTCTACTTATGATAGCCTTCAGAGATTTTCCAGGGGGAAGTTGAGATATAAAAAAGAAATGTATTTGCAAAAGAAAAAAACAAGCAAGAAAGAAAAAAACAAACTTGTCCCACATTAAGTAATAAGACGCTCAGGCAGAGTCCCCCAAAACAAAATCTGCAAGGTGGTTTAGTATCTGGTGCCTGGACAACCAAAATCTAACCAGTCTGCGATTTGCTCATGGCCAAACGTTGATTATACACTGAATGTCAGTGGTGTACAACAGAACTTCATGTTGTGCATCAGTAAGAGCCCATTTTAAATTGTTACATTCACCATCTGTGTAATATGGTTTCTGTGTTGTATTCTGGTAGAGTAAATTAACAGCATTGTCTCTGAAAGTTGACCCCTATAATTACCTACTTTCCTAGGATTAGGAGAAACCTGGATGCAGGGCTGTTAAGAGACTTCCTGGGAAGCTGTATTTAACCCGCTTTTAATGCCAATTGCATTACCAACATTTGTGTGGAACCTAACAGAACAATCAACATTTAGTTCTCACACATCACAGTGTTTTAGGTTTAAGGTACGCAATCTGCACCTCTTATCTATCACTGAATTGTAGAGTTGAAAGAGACCATGAGGGTCATCTAGTCTAACCCCCTGCAATGCAGGAATATTTTGCCCAATGTGGGGCTCGAACCCACGACCCTGAGATTAAGAGTCTGATGCCCTCCTGACTGAGCCCAATAAACTTTGGAACTCTTCTGACAAAACCTTTTCATCCCTCTGGAAAGTGGGAACCCTCAGCATACTTCTTCCAGAGGTATGTAGTATCTGAAATATTTTGTTCAAGCAGCTAACCAGTTATTGCAATGGTTGCTTCAATTCCACATCTTCAGAGTTGCAGCAGAATGTTTTTACATTTGAAAATATGTATATTTGGGCTTTTCTACTAAGTGTTCTAATCAGCTAGATGTGGGTGATAGGCTGAGGCATTATTCTGGATGACTTGATTCCTTTTGAAAACCTTAAGTAGGTCATAATTGCTGCAGCCTGATCCAATGCATGTTTACTCAAAAGTAAGTCCCATGGTGTTCAATGGGTCTTATTCTTGTTTGCCTAAGATTCCAATCTTACTGTAAGACGTATTCTTTCTGCAGTAAGGAGGCAACATTAATATGCTCAAAGAACCAGGGGTGCATATTTAGAAGTATGCATTTTTACATGAAAAAAATGTATTATAGAGCATTTGAATTTGCTTTCCAGCCTAGGTGTTTTCTCAGCCATGTGCTTTATTATAACTTAAACCCACATTGCTAAAGGGGAATAGGCACAAAAGACCTCAAGTAATTATATAGGTGGCGGAAGCAGGAAATGAGTATAAGAGACAAAGAGTGAATACTTTCCACGTACCCCAGCAGAACCTGCATGCACAAATACCTCAATAATATTGTTCAACAAATGCAAAGGAGTGAAGTAGCAATAATAATATATAGCCTCTGGCAATATTGCTAACAGTTATAAAATATTTGTGCTATCTAGAAGGGAAAATTTTAAGCCCTGCACATTCCTGTTTAATACAATTTAATGTAATCGGAATAAGGGGGAAATGTTCTGGCCTTTCAACAATGCGAAGGAGTAGTAAATGGCAAAAACGCACATTTTCTTTGTTAATCAACTTTTCTTTTGATCTCCCTCAGTGTATATATCTCAAGTAGCAGATGGACTGCAATAGGTTCGGTCAGGAAATCTATGTCTGGGTGCTGAGATTTCTTTTGCCATCTTGATCTCCCCCTTGAAATATGTCAGAAAGGTCTTGCCGGTCCTGATTACCCTTTACATTCTTTAGATACTGCAACACATTTGTTTTCCTGAGGACAGCTACAGGCTCTTCCTTCTCCAGCAATCCCAGCAGCAGTTGCTTCATCATTTCTAGAGACTCTTCTCTGCCAGTTCCATCAGAGAGATTGGAGAGGTCTTGGTTCCTTGGTGAGGTCCACACAATGTGTGCCTGCGGGATGTCCCTGCCCACGGCTGTGTGCACTCCTCCCATAGCTTGGTGGAGCCAAATCAGTCGGTTTAACTCTTCACGGAGATTTCCTTTGTTATGCAAGAACTGGAATTCTGCCACTCCTCTCTTACTGAAATGTGAAAAAGCCAGTACTGTGCTTAAGAAGCAGAAACACATTCACAACAAAGCAAGAAAACATTTCAAGTATATTAGTTAAAGATGAGGAAACCAAGATCACTAAGGGATTGTGTCCAATCTTGTTGAACTATCTGGTGCCATCTAAGTGCTTGCAAAAGTAGTGTGTGGTATTCCTGGGGTCTGAACCAGTGCCGACCACTTAAGACGTTTGACATCTGCATTCATTATTTTCTTTGTAGAATTGGACTGATCAATGCAAAGTTGACAGTCCCCAAAGCTCCCCAAAGTCATTGTCCCACAGCTCCTCATCTGCCTTTATTTGTAATTCTTTAAGGCTGGAATCCTATAAACACTACCTCAGAATAAGTTCCATTGAACTCAGTAGGGCTTACTTCTAAGTAGGCGTATAGGATTGGACTGTAAGGCTACAGTTCTATGCATGCTTGTTTTGGAATATGTTCCACTGAATTCAATGGAATTGATTTTTTTCATGTCTGAATTTGTACAGATGTTTCTTATTTCCCTATCTCTTGCTAAGAACTCTTTTCATGGCTACCCTCTCACAAATATTAGATGAGTTTTCAGTGTTGAACTTGGAGTTTTGTTTCAAACTGGGAAACCTAAAATTCAGTAAAGGTTAGTCACTGGTAAATGCACAACCAACTTTAACCTAATATATGAAAAGACAGATTACAGTACAAGCATATTAGCATTGTCACTGTTCACATGGCTGTTTCAGGTTCTTGCATTATAGTTTCTATCCAGTGACTTTTTTGCTGTGTAAAATGAAGGTGGCATATCTAGCTATTATTCACAAATCCTGTCTGTTCATTATAGAACCATTTACCAAAGAGAGCCCACTGAGGCCCATACTTGGGAAAGACTCCTATCCAGTTGTGGACAGCATGGATGGGGATGGTGCCAGACCTCCCAACATCTGTGTTTGAGAGGTAGAGTGGCATAGAGGTCAGTGCAGTGCAAACACACCACCAAATGCATCGGATTGGCTCTGCCAGTGCATTTGAACCACGCCGACCTCCCCACTGCCTCACCTCTCTCCTGCCTGAAACCTTGGAGAGTGGTTAGGGCTTTGCTGGATGGACCAGTGGTCAGATTCATTATAAATATGTTCCTGTGTCCTATGTTAGACATGATGATGGCAGTCACATTTCTTTATTACAGTGGTACCTCGGGTTACAAACACTTCAGGTTGCAGCCTCCACTAACCCGGAAGTAGAACCTCAGGTTAAGAACTTTACCTCAGGATGAGAACAGAAATTGCACGCCGGTGGCCATTAGCTAAGGTGGTACCTCAGGTTAAGAACGGACCTGTGGAACGAATTAAGTTCATAACCAGAGGTACCACTGTATTTGTGTGTGTGCTCCATCTTTGTAATAAAGTTGTGGTGTACTCCCTGCTCCATAAACTGGGCTAGGAGAAAAGTGCCTGGACTGATGGAGTGCAGGGAGGTTAAAAAAAAGGGGGGGAGTCATAATTTCCTGCTCCATGCAACCATTTTCATGTCAAGACTACCACATGCTTTCGCCTGTTTCAGACATAATGGGAAACCATGATTTCCTACTCCATGAAAGAGCCTGTATGAGTCTCAGGTTTCTATGTATCTCCTGTGGCCACAAGGAGATTGGAAGCTTCCATTTTTAAACAAGCCGCAGTTCCTCTTTATGCCCAAGCTGGAGAGATTGTAGCAAGAGGTACTAACCTTATGACCAGCAGACCATGTGAGCCTGAGGTTCATGTGGGCTCACTCATGTGGTGAGCAACGGGTTTCCCATTATGTCTAAACCAGGCTAATATATGTGAACAGGACAGACATGTGAATAACATATGTAGCTGTCTTCATTGTTTCTGATTTTGCTATGGATTTGTGCTTTGACGTGTTAAAAGAGGTAGCTCTCTCGCCCTTATCATCACTATCTAGGAATGAACAGAAGATCACTTTATGGTTTTCGGAACCATCTTGGAAAGCTCTAACAACAAGAAGACTTTGTCCTTTCCCTTTGCTATCTTGTGACTTTCAGTACAGGATAATCTTATTTTTAAAAGCACCTTCCAAATGTATCACATTTTAATGAAAAATCATTTTAAAAATTACAAACGATGCTAAACATATGTTTGCACAGTGATCTCCTTCAGAAAAATACATTATATTGTAAAGCATTACTGCAATGCTATCATTTTGCATCCAAAAGTCAACACAGTAAACCACCCCCCAAAAAACCCCATCATAGTAAAATAAAGCTTATCAAAAATTTAACTAACAAATATTCTTACGTTTTTGTTTCTTGACATGTTGCAAACCAAACAAGAAAAAAAATGGACAAAAATGTTACCATCTGTAGATATCTTTGGGACAAAAGCATCTTCTGTCTTGTAAACTATTAAACAAGATGAAATAAGATGGACATTGAAATACAACTTGCAGCTATAACATATTCCACTTAAATAATGGATAGTAAAAGTAAACCATAGTGGCAGATAGGAAGTATTGGCCTGAAATATATAATTTTTTAAAAAAAATATTATTCTTTGCCTTTTCATATTAACTGTGACAACAAAAGCCAAATAATTCCATAGTGTATTTTATTTGTATATTAGGACACAAAAGGTTTTAATCTGAAACAGTAGAAAACCATCTTTTAAATATGTATTCCAAATATTCCTGTCATAAATATATTACTGCAATCTTCACTCAGGGTAGTATAGCCTATGAAAATCAATAGCATAATAAGTATATAAAATTGTTTGCTTTTGGAGGGAACAAAACAAATATTCTGCTCTGAATCAGAACTGGTTTTCTAGAAATATGTGAATACACAAAATACATCCTGAATGGCACAAGCCATTGGTTCAGTTTTTCCAGTACTGTAATCACTTATTGACAGATTTTGTCAATAATATATTTGAGATATATTTGTATAGCTACATATAACCGACAATATCTTAATTAAATATTAGTTGAAAGAAAATATTTAACAGTGCAACCCTATACATGTCTACTCAGAAATAAGTTCAATGGGGCTTATGTCCTGGTAAGTGTATATAGAGTTTTAAGCCCAACAGGTTAAAAATAGCAGTGTAATGTAGAGTACTTACTATTTCTTCTTGTATTGGAGTATGGTAAAGTTGATTTGTGGAGTCTTACTTGTTGCTAGCAGATCTCTAGTGAGCCTCCTCCTGCAATGACAGTGTGCGCCTTCCTAGCTTCTTTTATAGTTCTGTAGCTGCACTTAACAATAGGATGAGCTGTGCATCATATTCTATGACTAAGATCTTTTCCTCCTTGTATAAATGAAAGATGTACTTCTCCCAGAGACAATCACCCTTGGACAATAAAGTTTACTATTTGGCTAGTGATTAAGACACTGGGACCTCCTGTTTTTGAAATATCTCTCATCCTGTCATTTTCATAGGATCGTAAAATCATGCTATGGAGGTTGGGATCAATAGCAAGCCTGAAGAATTGGAGACTTTTTATCACTGGGGAACTTATTCCAGCCATTACTTGCTGGATAACTTTTGATATAATTTCTGGATCAGCACCACATTTTTAAGGAAAGAATCAGCTTGATTTTTATAGACGGCAGCTGGAGAAGTGGAGAACTGAGCATATGAACAAGGCAAGGAGGAATCTTCCTCTTCTTGACATGTTATTGTCAGATTTTGAATTGGACCAGGATTTACAATGGTCCAGTGCCAGGGCTCAGCCTGGAAATATGAAGTGGGATATTAATATATTCAACTAAAAATGGAGAAGCATAAATAAAACTTCTTGCTCAGTAGAAATTAAAGACATACTTCACACAGCCCACCCCAAATTTTGGGTTGATGTTTATCAGTCTTGGTTGAACTATGGCAGCCTCAATGGCAAACAAATATTCAGGATGCTCCCAGTGAAGTCTCCTGCATCCACCCAGTGTCACCAACAGTAACTTGCAAACTGACCCATAATATCTCTCTGGCGTAACGGGATGGGGCTTTGCTATTGTACATGCAACACTTTCCCCAGATGCTGCATAAGCAGATGTCACTGCCCATCCACAGATCAGAAATGTGTGGAGATGGGGCATAGCTAGAGTCAGAAGATGCAGGGCTGTGGGGGCTCACCTAAATACTTTCCCAGCGGTGCTATCTTGGCAGGCCTGCTCTTCTTTGAGCTTTGATATAAGGCAGCAGCCTGCTATTCTGAACATCAGAACTGATCTTACATATGTGCCTCTCAGTCTTGCACAGAAAAAGAATTCTGCTGCCTTCATCTATTGTTTATTTGACGTTCTCAGTTTTCCTTCTTTATAGTTGTTTGTCTAGTGCAGGCACCCCCAAATTTGGCCCTCCAGATGTTTTGGGACTACAATTTCCATCATCCCTGACCACTGGTATTGTTAGCTAGGGATGATGGGAGTTGTAGTCCCAAAAAACATCTGGAGGGCCGAGTTTGGGGATGCCTGGTCTAGTGGATTTTAGGCTCAAAGCAGCACCTTCAGAGCTCCCCAAACCCCTCATTCCTCCCATCACAGGGTTCTCTTCATAGATAAATAAATCACAGCTCTATTTCCCCTGGTTCCTGTCCCCTTGCCCCAACCTCCACTGCACTGCCAGGTAAATGAGTCTGCTTCTTTTCCCAGTACAGTACCCTTTCAGAGCAAGTTCCTGTTCCTGAAGCTTTTAAGCCCACGTCAGTCTCTTCTCTGTGGTAAAGGTGAGTTTCTCTGGGTGCATCTGAGGCCTGTCCCTCCTCTGCTGGCTGCTTTCCCCCTCTATAGTCCAGTGGTGAAGGCAACAGCATATGCATGGCACAGCCACTTGCGGCTGGCACAAGTTCACTTCCATTTAGGCCAGAGTCAGCAGAGAGTGGACATCACCAGCAGCCACTTGCAGTATTGCCTCTCAGATTTGGATTTCCAAGGCACCTTTCAAGAATTACGGCACAAATAAAATAAGACAATAGAAATGCAGAGCAAATAATATAATACCAACAGCTAAGCGAGCCTGAACAGAGCCAGTACCTCACAACCTGGACTTCTGCTGACACAACAGGATTTCCTCTGTGCCTGCCCACTGCCCATCTACTCAATGATTCCCAAAGTGTCCAACACAGATTCTGGGAGTTTGCAGGAGCTGAAAGGTGAGGGTGAGAGGACAGGAAAGCATGGGTGAAAGCCCATTTTGATAGCATATGGACACCATTGAATGTCATATATATTTTCTATGCAGTCATATTGGTATAGCTGTTTGTGCCTCATTGCAGCTACAGTTAAATGTAGGATTGTTTTCATGATGTTAATAACATAAAAAGTAGTAGCCAAATACCAATGTACAGACCTAACTGGTTCTGCCTTGTACCATCTGGGGCTAGAATTGTTTATTTTGAGCCATTGTGTTCATCAGCTAATCACTACAGGCTTCTAGCTTTGTAACAACTCTGTTCCTGGTGTAAGAGCCATTTATTGAAAAGGTCAAAACTTGTAACCAATTAAAGATTTAAATTGAGGTTGCTAAATTGGTTGCTAAACTCTTGTGATCTCTTTTTAGTTTCCAGGACACCCAAAAAGTTAATGTAAATGATGTGTCTGCCACAGCAGAGCTTTCTAGTTACGTGTTTCCAGGCTAATAAGCACTAGCCATAGCCAAGTCTAAAACATCTGATCTTTATAGCCACCTTTATGTAATTGAGGGGCAACTACCATTATCATAAGAACTATGATTCCATTTGTCTGAGCAAGTGAATGTCAGCCAGAGAAATTGAAAGATGCTCATTGAATGACAACTTAAAGCATTCTATCATAGACAAAGTGTGCTGCCATGGCTACTCAATTCCACTACCCTTGGGAAGTTGCATTATAGGAAATATCTCAGCAGCTCTACTTTTAGAGAATGGGTGTTGCATCCAGCAGCATTTTTAACTCCCGCAGTAGTAGTTATGGAAGCTTCAAACTGTGCTGGCCTTCATTGAATAATAGAGTTACCAGATGGTTACAAGCTGGCTTCCAGTACTGGGTTCAAGAGTATCCCAGGATTGGATAAAAGTGTCTAAAGATGTGGAACATATTGCAGGACAAAAAAATCCATGCTAAATCCTAAACCTGCCCTCCATTTTTATCTTTGAAGACTCCATAAAGATGTGATTATATGAACTGTGGCTAAATCCACCACAGAAAAGCTGTAGAGGATTTTGAAAGCAAACTTTAAGTTGGACTGGCAGCAGCAGCTCTGGAACTTGTGTGGCTTTGAACGAGAAACTGGCCCATTATGTGTCGGCATATCAAAATAATTAGACAATTTCTATGCTATGCACATCAACTTTATTAAATAGTTACCAAAGAACATGAGCTTTGGCCTCTGGCAATGTAAGGGAACTTGTAGCAAGATATTATGGTTTGATATAACGTACGTAATCAATGATTCAGGTAATGTAGCCATGTTGGTCTGTTGTAATAAATAACAATGATGAAAGATTAAAAAATATATATTGAAAGATGTTCCAGTAGCACCTTAAAGACCAACTAAGTATAAGCTTTCTAGGTATGAGCTTTTACGTAATCAGTGTTTTCTTATTTTTGAAATGGTATGTATATTTCTCTAAATTGTTGATGCTTTTCTTTCAAATAAATAAAATGCCTCCCTTTCTCTACCAAATGTTTTGCATTTGATGTACATTTCAATGACCAGGTGCTTACCCAAGTTTCAGTTTCCTTGGAATGAGGGACAGCAGAGACTATGGTGTCTTTAGGATCAATGGTTTATTTACATATATGCAACGTGGCGTGCCTGGCATGCTCTGGTCCATGGGGTCACAAAGAGTCGGACACAACTAAACAACTAAACAATAACAAAGCAACAACCTGTGCCTGAGACAGAAATCAGGCATAGCTCTGTCTTCCAGCTTCTAGCTTACATCACTCAACTCTCAATTCTTGCTTTTGTCTTTCCGACAAAGGGAGTGGAGGACCCACGTATTTGTTATCTGGCACAGAACCACTTCCTTTGTTACCTAATGGCCCATACTTAGAGAGCCATTACCTCACCAGGAACCTAACCTGGCTATTCCAGAAATTGAATCAATGCTGGATCCAGGAATTAGAAGGAAGTTCAGGCATACAACCTACCCCACCTAACTCGTAAAATTATATTAAGAGCATGTGACATGTCCAGCTTTTTACATAGCATTCATGCGAAACACAAAACTAGTTGCCTCCATATGTCTGATATCTTTATAGGCCTTGTGGCCTTTGTGGGGTTTTAACCTAGAATAACTTCAGACTACTCTACAACAGAAAGCACTCCTGTGTGGGTGACAAAATAGCAGAGGAGCTAAGGATTATTCGGATAGAAAAGTGGGGGGAAATAGTTAAGACAGTTAGGCTTTTATCTCCAGAAAAGCAAACAGGTTTCTTTGCTTGCCACTAGGTGGCAGACCGACAGGGTCACACATACTACAATGCGATCTTCCAAATGTAAGGATTCACAAAAGTGTACTTTTAGAAGTATAAGTCCCAAAGAGGAGGAAGAAGAGGTCACACAACAGAACACTCACATGGAAATAGGATATTTCTTTCACCACATGGCAATAAGCCTGAAGAAAGGACCCTGTTTAAGACGCTCAGGGAATATTATTTTTTTGCCAAGCAATCCAGAGGGCACTATCACACACTGCTAGGACTATCCCATAGTGGTGCCCTACACAGGACTCAGGGTTGGGAAACAGGTGGGATTTTGAGCCCCACTGAGGGAAAATTGCTTCACTCATCTTTTGCATACCTGGCCAAAAACTGTCAGATTACTGGGGTGCCAACTTGAATGAAATATTTGGGGACCTAGGTAAGCCCTTCCCCACATAATTAATCACATGGGGCACACCCACACTATTTGAAGGGAAATGCCCATCAACCTTCAGCGGGGGTGGTGCCCCCGAAATATTCTCTTGGGGGGGGGGCAAAGGGACCTCGGCCCCTAGGAGTTGGCAGGTAGCATCCCAAAACACTTTGCCCTCATCACCTCTCCGCACAACTTGCCAGCCAACGGACTGCCTCATCTGTCACAGGAGGGGCAATAACCATCCCACACTTGCCTTTAGGGCCTGCATCCCACCTAACCGAACACAGAATGGAGGTACCACTCGCTCCGACAGCATCCGATTCCTTGTCCTTCTTATTCTGAATCCAGCTGAAGCCAGATCTGGTGTGGGAACAGGGTCCTTATCTAGCAACCCCTCCAGGAACAAAGTCACAGCACATTTGGCAAAATTATAGCCTTTTTCGTACAGCACCTGGGATGGGCAACACCTATGCAAAGGGAAAACATAGCTCTTCGGAAACAAGCCCCACTTTGTAAATCGTTAGGAGAAAAGAATCAGAACTGAGGCAGCCTTAAATTCCCGTTTAAGGATTAATGGCGAGGTGGGTTCCCTCCACAATCCAGTGCGGGTTCAGGTTAAAGCTGAAGCGAGAGATGCCGCGCTTCTAAAATAGGGACGCCCTTTAATACAAAGAGCTCATCCGGGAAATTTGAAAAGCGGTTGCGTCGAAGTGGAAATGGAGCAGTTGAGCGAAACCCCACCGGCCTTTAGTAAATACTGGGACACCTCCCGCCCCACACGTTTCCACCATAAGCCCTGAGCCTCCGTGAGGCACCGTCGGCCCCGCCCCGCCCATTCTTTCCCCCCTCCCCGTCCCACCTATTCTCTGGTTGCCACGGTGACAGTGGCCCGGCCTACTGAGCAATAGGAGCAGGCACTACTAAGCGAACAAGAAGCGTCAGGAAGGCTCGCTCCTTGAGGCGGAGCCATCTCTCTGAGAAAGGGGGTAGGGCGCAAGGAACCGTCGATCACCGGAGAAGCGACGTGCAATTGGTGAGAATCCTGGTCACGTGCTAGATGGGCAGGACGTATATAAACTCGGGGTGTGTAGGCGCGTTCCGCCATTTTGTCCAGTGCGACGAAGTGGGAGAGGCGGCGGAATCGAGTCTTGGCGGGAAAACGGGCGACGCAGCGATCGAGCTCGGTGGCTGAGGGGCGAGAAGCGAGGGAGACTGCGGAGCCGACCGAAAATTAATAATCATAAAACCGTGTAGCGGTTATACGCGAGAGTCGGTCACACTCCTGGCCCGGCAGCCGGTGAGGGAGGGGCTTGGTCGGGATGGAAGGCCTCGCGGTTGCGGCAGCGGACAAAGAGCCGCCGCCATTTTGTGTGGTTGAAGTAACGTCAGGTCTCCCGCCGGGATGTTGGTCCCGGGGAGGAGATGAAAGGGGAGGCAGGCGGACTGCTTGAGCGTGAGGGGCGGCGTGGTGGGTATTATATGCGCAAGCTCGAGTCGAACCGAGGGAGAATTGTGAGGGCCGGAGGCCGCCGCGATGGGCGGGAAACCTCTCAGTAGTAGGCGCGCCAGTTACCAAGGCGTAAGAAGCCCTTTTCGCCGCCTCGTGAGCGAGGAACCTGAGGCCCAGCTCAAATCACCACAGGCTGCCTTGAAGGAGACCTGCTTTGGGGATCTAAACACAACACGCCCTTCCAAGCCCAGTTGTCAACCCCTGGATGCCCTCAAATCGAGGTCTCTTAATTTTGACTTCGCTTTTGTGTTTCAAGGGCCCGGAGTATGGGTCTTCAATATAAGATGATTAGTACCTTGGAACAATGAATTATATTTCTAAAGTAGATTATAAGATGGACTTAAATGTATGAATAGTTATGCGTTGTAAGTCAAATCATCTGCACTGTATTTTCAAAATTATGAGCCTGTTTCAAATACCTTATAACCCAAAAGGTTCCCTAACTAATAAATATGAACAGAAGGCAAACAAGTTTTTCCTTGCATGTCTTCCAGAGATGCATCGTGATTCGTGTCCACTGGACTGCAAGGTTTATGTAGGTAACCTTGGGAACAATGGCAATAAAACTGAATTGGAGCGAGCTTTTGGCTACTATGGACCACTACGTAGTGTGTGGGTTGCTAGGAACCCCCCTGGTTTTGCTTTCGTTGAATTTGAAGACCCACGTGATGCTGCTGATGCAGTCAGAGAACTAGATGGGAGGTAAAAATTCACTTACATTTGGGTTGAGCTTGTGTGTATACTTTGATCTATTAATGTAATATGCTGCTTTGATTGAAAAGAAAATTGGTCACAAATAGCCTGGCTTCTGTATTTGGAGATCCAAAAGAAATAGAACTGATTTTCTGTGGGGGCTAGTGGGGCTGGGAAGTAATTCTTACTAACAGTCTGTTAAATTTGTGTGAAATGTAATCTTTTGCTTGTGTTTATTTTGAGTACAGTTAAAACATGTTGCATATTATTCCTGAGCTTCTAGATTTTGCACAGCTACCAAGTTTTGGAAACACTGGTTGTGAGCTCTTGTGATTCTTAGTGCCCTGTTTCAAACATGTAATTTTTTTTTTTAATGGAAATATGCTTAACGTTGCAGGCTCTTAATGGCTCAGACTGTAGCTGAATTTCACTCATGTTGATTTAAAAACATTCTTATTTTGACATCTATAATAGCTGAAGCTGAATATGCGTTCTATATGATCAAAACAATTTTAAGTGCTGGCTGCTTCTTAGGAGTGAAATACTGGTCCCCATTCTAATTTTCAGTTAAACAAAACAAAATTAGACTGACTTGGTATGGTTTTGTGTTGAAGTTTAAATAACTAGGGAAATACAGGGGCACTAGTTGAAGTGTCTGGCTTAGTTTTATTAGGCTGTTAGAACTAACAACCCTTCCCTTTTTCTCTTAGAACACTTTGTGGGTGTCGTGTCAGGGTGGAACTCTCCAATGGTGAAAAACGTAGTCGGAACCGTGGTCCACCTCCCTCATGGGGTAGACGTCCTCGAGATGACTATCGCAGGAGAAGTCCTCCACCTCGCCGCAGGTATTTAGGAGCAAAGAACTTGTATAGTAATATTTGGCAGTATTACCATTTGGCATAATAGACTTTTTTTAAAAAAAATATATGCTTGTCTATACCTACCCAGACACAGAATTTTAAAGCATTGAATATGTGTTAGAGGGATACATTGTGTTGAACACTGACTTTTATCCTTAGGTGTCTATACCAGTTGATAGTGCCCTCTAACACGGATTATCATCTTTCCTTCTGAAGTCTGTTCATCTTCTAGTCACTTTCTTTTTCTTCCCAGTATTCCAACTTGGTTTTTTTTGCTTTTCTTTACACCATTGTTGTAAACATTGCATACAACAGCTTGGCTTTTTCACCCACTTGAGATTTTTCAACTTTAGCACAATGATGCCAGGCAGGCAACTGTTTTAAAAATGCTGAAGCAATGAACAGTTGCTTAGCTAAATCTGACAATAGTAAATCTGTTGAAATATGACCAACTTTTGAGTTATGCAGGAATAAATTTCAAAATAAAGCAGGTTTTTACAAGTAATGCATTCTCTGACCCTGACAGATTGGTTGGGTGTTTATTAGTCGTACTTAAGGTCTTTATATCTGCAAGGGCTGATTTTAGCCTGTTTCAGGTAAATGAAGTCCATACAAGATAAGAGAGTGAAATCTGTTCCCTTTCACTGTAGAACACAATAGGAGTATTTGTTAGCTAATAGATGGTTGTACTGATGGCTTGTTTTTCATTTTTTTATGCTTTTTTTGGTCCATCTATTAATAAAAATGAACCCGTTACAGAGTCACCATCATGTCTCTTCTCACCACCCTCTGAGTCTGCATTAGCCAGTCAACTAGCCCTTTCAGCGTCATGTGACCAGCGCGCCCCATTCAGCTTGGCTGGTGTCGTTTCACATGACCCAGGCATG